TAACCTTGTTTATGGTATCTTTTTTTAATGTTTATTTATTTTTGAGAGACTGAGAGAGACAGAGCACGACTGGGGGAGGGGCAGAGAGAGAGGGAGACACAGACTCTGAAGAGACACAGACTCCGAAGCAGCCTCTAGGCTCTGAGCTGTCCACACAGAGACTGACGCAGGGCTCGAACCCACGAACGACGAGATCATGACCTGAGCCGAAGTCAGAGGCTTAACCGACTGAGCCACCCAGGCGCCCTGTTATCTTTTGTAAGTTTTAAACTTGGAATGCAAAAATCAACCTTTTCCTTTATGTCATTTTTTTCAGGGCCATAGAAATCTCATATTCACATTTAGGTCATTAAAATCCCCAGAATTTATTTTTGTGCATGGCATGAGATAATGAATCTAACCGAATTTTTTCCCCTCATGGACGGCCAAACGTACTAGCATTTATTCTATAGGCCATCCTTTCTCCACTGATTGCCACTTCTGTCCCTTATAAAATCTTTATATACATCTGAGTGTATGTCTGGGTTCTCTACTGTGTTCCACTTGGAAGAACTGTCTATCCCTATGACAGTTCCACATTGTTTTAAGTTCCAAAGCTTGGTTTTAAATCTTGGTATCTGGTAAGGCAAGTTCATCCTCCTTCTTTAAGATTTCGTACTCATGCTTCTAAAATAAAGTTAGCATTTATTTGTTAAGTTTCATGTTGAGATTCTGACTGGAATTCTACTGAATTTAATTAATTTCAGAACAATTGTCATCTTTAAAAAAATTTAACATTCATTTCTGAGACAGAGAGACAGAGTACGAGTAGGGGACAGGCAGAGAGAGAGAGGGAGACACAGAATCTGAAGCAGGCTCCGGGCTCTGAGCTGTCAGCACAGAGCCTGGTGTGGGCCCGAACCCAGGGACCATAAGATCATGATCTGAGACAAAGTCAGACACTTAACCGACTGAGCCACTGAGGCGCCCCCCAAAATTGCCATCTTTATGATAGTCTTTCAAGTCACTAATGTCTTCGTTTGGATCTTTAACTTGCAATTACGATTAATAATTTTCTAAGTTTTATAAATTGCGAACATATTTTGAAATTATATTTCCTAATTGGTTGTTGATAGTAAAAAGGATTGCTATTAATCTTTATGTCTTGGGTTTTTTGTTTTTTTTTTTTCCTAGAAACACTGCGAAACTTCTCAATTAATTCTAAGTCCTCTGTAGGTTCTCTTGGATTTTCTACATAAGCAGTTGTAGTGTTCATATATGATTATTTTGTTTCTTTCTCATGTTTGCTTTCTATTTCAAAATCACTTAATTTATAGTGTGCCAATTTTTAGTGTTTTTCTTTTTCTCTGCACTAATATGAACTTATTCATTTAAAATATACATCCTGTCATCTAATGGAATTCAGGCAGGAGAAAGGGCAAGTGTTCCATCTCAGTTCACCAATTTGATCCCAACACGTGCAACTTTAAATAAACCTCCATTTCTTGATTTTATCAGGTATTGTTATTGCCAACTCACAGCCCTTTACCCTCCCCTTCCTCCTCAATGACAAACTAGGAGTCTGTTCAGCTGACTATCCCAAATCATGCACAAGGGGTTAACTGTGTGCTCTAAGCCAATCCTTGCCATCAGGTGGTTAAGGGTGTACATGTGACTCAGTTCTGGCTGGCCAGACATGTGAAAAAACAATTTCCCCCCCGTTTTCTTTTTTTGGAGTGGGAGGGAGGAAAGAAGGGCAAGAACCTGGAAAAAGTTTCTTGGCTTATGGAAAAAGATGCACAGGTGCATGTGATATTTGTAACCACTAGAGCCATTTTTCTAGTTGCCAGGGATTAGAGAGTAAAAAGATAGAAAGAACGTAGGTCCTTGGATAACATTCTTGAGCCTGTGAGGTAACCACACCTCAACCTGTCTCTACTTTGTATCATCTCATTATCTGAGTCAAAATACTTTTTAAAAATGGTTTCACTCCTTTGAATTGATGTTTTTTCTTTCCATGTTGCTGAAAGCATCTTAACTGAAACGATGACTGAGATAAGCCTTGGCCAGACCTCGCAGAGAGCCCTTAACTCACACAGAAGACTCCAAGCATTTACAGACTGTGGACTGGGATGTCCCACTGTTATACAGAAGAACTTATGGTCCAGAAACCAGAAAGTAGGTCTGGATGATGAGGCTCATTTGGTAGCAAAGTACTGTCTTACACGGCATTATAGGTTGTTTTGTGTACTGACATATCTCAGGGCTCAAAACTTTCTCTAACTTGATGGATACTTCACTCTGTTGGGTTACCAAGACCACCAAACTTTGGACATGTCTCCCTGATATTTAAAGGAAGCAACAAGGAGCCACATTCGTCTATTTGCACCCTTATTTCATGTGTACCCTCTGCATTGCTACCTCTGCTAATCAGATGTTTTAGGAAAAAATCAAAGTAAAAGTGATTTTTTTCCCAAACTACGTGCGAATTATTATCTCATCCATTCACAAACCTAACCTAGACTGTTGATCTGGCCTTGCTCAATGAACCCTTGCCTTTAAACAGTATTTACTGACTCTACCCTGTAAAATGAAAATCAGCACACCTACGTTTTCCTCTACTTTTTGGGTTAACCCTTAATCACTACTTGCACTGTTATGTAAGTTTCCAGTTGTGTATGTTTGGAATACTCCAAGCTGATGGGAAGTTCTAAAAGTTGCCTGTATCTCCTTAATTCTTTGTATTCCTCATAGTGCCTAGTAGTCTCCCTAAATATGTTTTGCGAATGACATGTTTTGTGAACCAATAAGCATTTCTTATTCTTGTGCTCTCTACTGAATAATGACAAGTTATAGCAAGAGGTAGTTTACCTTCAACTAATACTCAGAACACATTACTATTTCCTTTCTAGATTTCTCTTTTCTTCCCTCTCTTCCCCTAATTCCTCTTTCAGTTCTTTATTCCACCCTAGAATTTTAAATAGTATTCCTTTTTTTTGTTATTCTACCATTAATAATTTCTTCCTATCTCGTCTGGAGCTCCCTTTCTCTTTGTCCCTTTCATCACCTTCTTTTTAAGTGGAATGGAAACTCATTTTATATTACTTATTGTATTTACTGAATATAATTTGATAATAAGAGCTAGTGTTTAGTGTTACTGCATGCCTGGCACTATGTTAAGATCTTTACATGTACTAACTCATCTAATCTACACACTGCCAATGAGGTAGAGGAGTTATTTATTAGTCTCCTTTTATGGCTATAATCAGAAATCAGAGGCTTTAAAAGGGTAAATCATTCGATTGCCAGCCCACCTACGTAAGGTCAGAAGTAGGACTTGAATCTAGAGCTCCTATAACATTATATAATATTGCCTTTCTAATATAATTTAGTTCCTTCTTTCTCTTCCTTTCTGAATTTCTAACACTCTAGGAAATTGCTTTAAATACTTTACAGAAAATCCAAAGTAATACATACAGACGGTTAAAAAAATACAAAAAGATAAATAAGAAGAAGTAACAGTCTATAGTGCTGGTCCCACTTCCCAGAGCTGATACTTTTAACCATTTGCTTTTTTGGTCTTGATGCTTATCTCTGTATGTGCTGCTCATTCAATCTTAAATATTTATGCCATTACACCCATCCATTACCTGTCATGAGACAGAAGATTTAACTCATCCACAACTCCCCAGACCCCCAAACTATCCTTTCCTCTACTCTACTCTCCTAATATAATAACATCATTAAGCTTCAATCACTCCAACTTCAAACAACAAAGATTCCATTTTCTGTTCCATCAATCAATCATAACAGTACCTTTTGATGCTCTACTTGATCAATTAAGCTACATATTTCTCTTTATTAATTTAATAATGATATGACGTTCGTCCTAAATATTTTGTCTCAAAAAACAAAATCCACTTGCTTTAAAATTTTAAGTCTCACAGTACTGTTATCAGCCAGTTGCCTTTAGCTGAATGAACGTGTTTTTTATTTTATCCTAGCAGACCAAGGACAGTTTTTTGAGTCTTTCATAAAGGTTGTGGGACTACTCCCACTTAATACCTTTCTTGTAGCAATTAGGCTGCTCTTATTTCAGAGAGGGAGCCAGCACATGCCTTTAAATGTATCACCTGCTAAAAAAGAGTGCTCACCTGCTGCTGTCCCTGCAAGCGCTGCTGAAGCTGAAGCCGCAGCTGGTTGGGGGCAGCGGGAGGTCTGTTCAGAGTCTGTCTGGGCTGCATGCCCATGCTGGGTGAAAAAGCGCCTCGGGGAGGTGTTACTTGAACAGGCATAGTCCCCAGTGAAGGTTTTTGCCTGACCATGCCTTGGAAAGGGCTGGAGAGATTGGCAGTAGGTGAAGGAGAAGAATAAGGCTGGGAATAAAGGTTGGGTCTTTCGTCCATCATCAAAGGTGGTGTTGCTTGTTGTGGTGGAAATCTCTCTGATAACACATCTAATCCACCTCCCTGTTGGACAGCAAGCCAGAACATTTGACAAATAAGTTAATGCCAATACGTGACATGCTTCTCTATATAATCTTGGATCTGAGAACATTTACCTCTAGAACGTCTTATTATAAAATATTCATGTTGAAGTCATGAAGCTCTCTAGTAGGAGTTTGCTACTTGAAGGAATCACTTATGAAAAGTTAACTTTTGAAATGGAGTAACAGATGAACTGAGATGTTTAAAATCTCAGAAAAGAGATAAAAACATGGTTAAAACAAAAGGCCCTAAAATCAGTGAGATAAAGCTAAAAGGTTTAAAAAGAACCACATTGCAAAGCCTAAGAGAGAACACACTTTACCTGTAATAGTTTACCATGAGGAGTTAGATTCCTAAAGGAGGGATTAATTAAGCATTTTTCTATCTCAAATACAAAGTTCATCCTTTTCTCTTATTTGAAAAAAATTCATAGCTGGCCTAACAGAATGCCATAACTATGGCTTTCAAAATCTATACTATTATTCACTGTAAAAAATCTAATTTAAATTGTGACCCGGTGTATGTAACTGAAAGGAAAACTTTATGAAACATAACTTCCCCTTTTTGTGGGCTATGCATTCTGATACCTTATATTCTACTCCTTAAAAGAATGTTGATTTTTTAACCTCACAGTGTGAAAAATGCCTGGAAGTTGGAGCATCATGGAATATATAGGTTGAGGTCTAGCACGAATGAAGGATAAATTAAGTCCTAGAATAAGAAGTAATGGTATAATGTTGGATTCTATTCTAGGGGGAGCTTCTAAGATTCTGTTCCATAGTGAAACGCTAAGACTTTCTAATTCTAACTATTTGTAATTATTATGATTTTTTGTTTAAAAAACTCATTAGTTAGCTATTATATATTTTGAGAATTTTCACAAGAATAAATTATAAAACCACAAAAAACATAGTGAGAACAGTATTGAAAAATCTTGCTTAAAAATAATTTTCTAGCTTCTCAGGATTTGTATCAGTTATATAAGGCCGAGCTTAATAAATACCTGGACAAGTTTGTCAATCCCCAGAGCTCTATCTAGTTCAGCTAGCTCCGTTTCATCTTTGCCGCTGAGGAAGGACACCAGCTGTTCAAGAAGAGCCTTCTCATCATTTCTGCCTTCTACTGTTGTTGGTGGACAGAGAAGCTCATCTAATTGTGAACTAATACACTGGCTATAGAATCAAAAGATAGAAAAGTTTAAGACTGATACAGCAAATAAGTATTCAATCTCAGTAATGCAAATATATATATGTATATATGATACGAACACATATGCAAGTCTTATTCTAGAAAGGTCTTTGCTGAGATGCTTTTTCGACCAATTCTTACACAAAGAAATGTTCTACACTTATGTGAAAAAACTTGTAAGTGTTCTATATGTAGCCGGAATGTATTTTCACTATTTTGTCAATCACTGAACTTTGCTTCCGTACTCTTCCTGTTAGCTTATAGAATTAGCCTAAAAAATTAACTAAACATAGTTAAGAAAGGAAAAACAATTTTTGGTGAAAATCAAAAATAAAAATCAATCAAAATCTCATAAAAAATCATCCAGCCTATGGTAAGATTTATTCTATTTATACTTAACTCTCAAAGATGATCAAATCATATTGATAATATGACATGATGACCATTTACCCAAGAAATCAAACTAGAAAAAAGAAACATGCTCAGTGTTAAGCAACAACAACAAAAAAATGTTGATTACATGAAGGAAATACATAGTCTAATCCAAAAGGATGCCAATTGATGCATAAAATTTAGAAATATATAGAAAATAATATTAATAATACAAATATAATGACATAATTTTAAGGATTCTTTTTGGGGGAAGGTAAGTGGGAATGCAGTTCATAGTTAAAACTCTAAGCTACACTCGATACTGTCTAGTCATCCTTTGGTTGCTATGTATGAAATGTACTCTTCTCTAATGTTTTGGAATAGAGCTACTTATGTCAATTAAGCAATTAAATTGTAATCAAGATGGGACACTAAGTAGATGTAAAATGTACCTTCTCTTATTAACCATCTTGCTCCAAAAAGAAACTCTGGACAAAATAATTATACAACTAAAAGCTCAAGAGCTTTCAGAATAATTGTTATACTGAGCTCACTTCATCTACAGGTCTCAGAAACTGTATAAGAATCAATCAAAGCAAAGCAAGAGATGAAAAATAAAACAACCACTGCATACTATGTCAATCGCTTGGTAATTACAATACATACCGGCCTTGCAGTCACACAGTAAGTAAATCTGTTTAACTTGGTGTCTTCCTACATCCCCTTTTTTTCATTAAACATTCACTTCTACTACTAGCTCACAAAATACCAATGTAGGCTGGAATCCAGTGTGGGAAAAGTAGTCCTTTGTTGAAATTGGTATCTGATAATTTTAATTTTTTAATTTTTAAAATTTTTTTATGTTTGTTTATTTTTGAGAGAGAGCGAGCGAGCAGGGAAGGAGCAGAGAGAGAGGGAGACACGGAATCCAAAGTAGGCTCCAGGCTCTGAGCTGTCAGCCCAGAGCCCAACACAGGGCTCAAATTCACAAACCGCGAGATCGTGACCTGAGCCGAAGTTGGACACTTAACCGACTGAGCCACCCAGGCACCCCAAGTATCTGATGTTTTTTTTTTTTTTTCAACGTTTTTATTTATTTTTGGGACAGAGAGAGACAGAGCATGAACGGGGGAGGGGCAGAGAGAGAGGGAGACACAGAATCGGAAACAGGCTCCAGGCTCCGAGCCATCAGCCCAGAGCCTGACGCGGGGCTCGAACTCACGGACTGTGAGATCGTGACCTGGCTGAAGTCGGACGCTTAATCGACTGCGCCACCCAGGCGCCCCATCTGATGTTTTTTAAAGTAGGAAATGTGTTACTCACTCTTCTGGTTTATTCTGATTTACGGTAGTCACTGTATTATTTGCCCATGGAATCTGATCACCTGTTCCTGGCTGTCCAAACTGGTTATCAATTGCTTCCAATTCCAGCTCCGGTAATCCTGGAAAAAGCAAGAAGTCAGGATCACAGTGGAAGATAAAAAGACAGTATTTTTCAGAAGTAATATATTGTGTAATAGAATGAGATTTCCCCTATAAAATATTATTTCGATGATACAAAGGTCCCTTATTCAGAAACAAACTATCTAGAATGTGGCCACATAATAACCAGTGAGAAAGAAAAAGTCTCTGAATCAAAGACAATCTGATGTAAAAAGGCCTGCACGTAAGTTGACGTTATCATAGGAGAATCACTAAGAATTTTGCCAAAAATTATCTCTTTTATTTCTTTTTAACTGTTTTCTTTTTTATTTCTTTAATTTTTAAGTAATAGCTACACCCAACATGGGGCTCGAACTCACAGCCCTGACTGAGATCAAGAGTTGCATGCTCCACTGACCGAGACAGCCAGGCACCCCAGAAATTATTTTCTTTAAAGATAATTATAACAATTTTGGTTAACTGCTTTTTCAGTCTACAGGGCAGTATAATATCTACAGGGCAGTATAATACACTATAGGTAGGGACAGTGTTATCATGAAATGAGAGTGGCAAACAAAAGATGTTCTATAAAAGGCAGTAACAGAAACTATAGGGCACAGCAGTCTGGGGTTGTTTAGAAAATGGGCAAAGTTCTGTAGCTGTTAACTAAGAATACATCTGTATAACAGTATAACGACTGATGCTTATAACAATGACAAATGAAAAAAGACATCAAATTATATCTTGTAATGGAAGAAAATAGTATATGCATTTTAGAAAGTTTTGGTTAGGCATTTTCTTTTCAAAACTTGATCATTTCTGTACTGTTTATTCTATGAAAAATTGTAAATAACCTCAATTCCAGAAACTCAGGGAATGTTTAATGAACCCTGGTTTGGATAGTTACAGTGTCCAACTAAATGAAAAAGAAAATGACCCCATAAACCAAGATATTATGTGCAGAATGATTCTGGTTTTACAAATTATTTAGTATATATGAGTAGAAAAAAATTCTGGAAAGGAGTTTATCTTTGGTAGATTTTAGGTTGTGAGATTAAGGATGACTTTTATTTTCTTTTAGTGCTTCTAATGGTTATTTGTAATTTCTGAAATGGACATATATTAATTAATCATTGTTATGGGCTGAACTGTATTCCCCCAAAATTCATATGAGAAGGTCTAACTCCTAGTAGCTCAGAATGTGACTGTATGTGGAGACAGGGTCTTCAGAGATGGGCAGGGAAGTTAGGGTGGGCTCTAATTCAAGATGACTGGTGTTCTTATAAGAAGAGGAGATTAGGACACAGACAAAACACAGACAGAGGGATGACCACAAGGCCACTGCAAGGAGGCAGCCATCCACAAGCCCAGGAGAGGCCTCGGAAGAAACCAAACCTGCCAACCCCCTTCACCTTGGACTTCTAGCCTCCAGATCTGTAAGAAAATTAAATTCTGTTGTTTAAGCCACCTGGTCTGTGGTATTTTATTATAGCAGCCTGAGAAAACTAGTATAATTTTTAAAAACCCAACTAAAAATGCGTTGGAGGTTGTTTTTTTTTAAGCGTTATTTATTTATTTAGAGAAAGAGTGCAAGTCGGGGAGGGGCAGAGAGAGAGAGAGAGGGAGAGAAAGAATCCCAAGCAGGCTCCACACTGCCAGCACAGAGCCCAATGTGAGGCTTGAACCCAGGAACCATGAGATCATGACCTAAGCCGAAGTCAGACACTCATCTGACTGAGCCACCCAGGCGCCCCAAAACACATTCACTTCTAAATACAAATAATTATAGCTTTCAATTAAATTTGTCTTGTCTGTCATGACAAATGATAGAAAAATTAAATTCTGTAGATTCCGAAAAACAAAACAAATAAAAACCACCAAACAACACCAACCACAAATGATGATGGGAAAGGAATCACTTACTTCCTATCATTATTTAAATCAGGAAGTTAGTCAAAGAAGATTATCTAAAGCTGTCCCACTGCTCTATTCCACACATTAATTCCTCAGTCCTATTCTATTTCAGAAATCTAACCTAGACAAAATTAATTATATTTAAGAGTCAAAGAAAATTTATATGGCTATCTACCATCAATACTGAATATTATAAGATAGTTTATTTGACTCAGTAATAGGACCTCATTGGTAATGAGGTAATGAGTAGTAATACCTCATTGGTGTCCTGGTGAGGAAAATATCAATAAGCTAGATAAAATTTCTCAAAATGAACTAAGATTCATGTGCTAAGTTTGATGACTAGGAAGATAAACCCGAACAAATCCAACTTTGATTCAAGTAAAAGTTCTGTTTGCATAGGCTTTATGCTTAAAAGTTGGTTTTTATTCTAAAAGTTACCTCAACCTTTTAAGATTTCCTTTAGAAATTTATTTTTACAAAAAATTTGAGGATTTGCTGGAATGTTTTAAAAAATACACAAATATGGGCCCTTGGGTGGCTTAGTAGGTTGAGCATTCGACTTCGGCTCAGTTCATGATCTCATGGTTCGTGAGTTTGCGCCCCGCACCAGTCTTACTGCCGTCAGCACAGAACCTGCTTTGAAGCCTCCATCCCCCCCACTCTCTGCCCCTCCCCTACTTGCTCTCTCAAAAATAAACAAACGTTAAAAAAAAGAAAAAAAGAAAAACACAAGTTATCTTTGTTCGTCCAGGGAATAAATCTACTATTTTGGGTCATATTTGTGTCCCTATCACAAACACGAGTATGTACATATGTAACACAAGACAGGCAAAGTAATTTGTAGAGGGAAGTATCAATGCATCTCTGTGTTGGAGAGGGACAGATGAAGTGGGGGTAGAAAACAAGCTCTTAGGGATCCCTGATCAAGCTATTTTTTTTTTAATGTTTGTTTATTTTGAGAGAGAGAGAGAGAGAGAGAGAGAGGAGGGTAAGTGCGAGTGCATGTCAGTGGGAGAGGGGCACAGAGAGAAGAGAGAGGGAATCCCAAGCAGGCTCCATGCTGTCAGTGCAGAGCCTGATGTGGGGCTCGATCTCACAAATCATGAGATCATGACCTGAGCCAAAACCAAGAGTCAGATGCTTAACTTACTGAGCCACCCAAGTGCCCCATCCTTGATCAAGCTATTAATCTTTCTTATCATCCTTGCAAAGGGCTCAACATCATATTTTCTCCATTTCTAGTCTGGTTAAGAGGAAAGCTTTATATATCCATTAGCCACAAAAAAGTTATGTTACTAAAAAATTTAAAAATTTCTCGGGGCACCTGGGTGGCGCAGTCAGTTAAGTGTCCAACTTCGGCTCAGGTCATGATCTTGCAGTCTGTGAGTTCGAGCTCCACATTGGGTTCCGTGCTGACAGCTCAGAGCCTGGAGCCTGCTTCTATTCTGTGTCTCCCTCTCTCTCTGCCTCTCCCCCACTCACACTGTGTCTCTCAAAAATGAATAAAATGTTAAAAAAAATAAATAATAAATAAATAAAAATTTCTGCACACAGGTAGAAACCATTGTCTAACCATGGCAGCGGCTTTTGCACATTCTACTCCTTTAACAGACCATCCCTATCTAGTGATTCCGACGGTCAGCCACTTGCCTCAGCCATTGGTTAAGAGGTTTCTGGCTCAGTTTTGTGTTACATTTGGTTGTAGTGTTTTATTTTTCTAAATAAAAATAAAGCACAGCAGTTGCAGTGTTTTATTTTGCTAAATGTGATGTAGACAACAGATTAACTTATGTTAAAAAAAAACCCTCCTATAAATCATAAGATAAAAATGGAAAAATCCAATAGATAAATGGCGAGAGAATATGAACAGGTCACATCCACGTGACTGAAAAATCACTGAATCACAGATCACTGAAAAATGATCAACCTAATTCAAAAAAAAAAGCAATACAGATTAAAGCTATACTGTGATACTTTAAAAAACCAAACCATCAGATTGGCAAAGATGAGAAAGTGTGTAAACTCGATGTCTTCGGATGTGTAGAAAGAAGAACATTCTCAGAGTGTAAACTGGTGTAATATCTGAGAAGGGCCATTTGGCAAAATCTATCTATCCTTTGACCAAGCAATTCTATTTAGAACTTCTATTTCAGTTACGCTCTCATATGTAGTAAATTATCTCTACATAAGATTATACATTACAGCTTTATAAAATAGCAAAAGATACCAACAGGCACAATACTCTGTAAAAAGGAAATTAAAATGGATTTTTTTAATTACTGAAAAAGTACTTTATGTAAAACTCATTATTTTTTGAGTTATATAATTATTTTAACGTGCTACAAGTTAATGATCTTTAAAAAATAATAATCTCAGAATGTGTATGTCCATCAAACATAAGATCAACCACTTCACGAGATCATTCACTTATTCCAATGAAGTTGTCAGTGTTCAAATATTTTTGGAATTCTAGATCGATCTAAAACAGTATACAGGTCCCTCAAAAAAATATATCTCCTTATAGTTAGTCTAATTTTGGTTCTGGTTAAAACAAAGTATTATTGTTTTTTGGATCAACAAATTTGGCTCCAAATAACTCCAGAAAATTTCAGGAGTTAAATCCACCCTCAAAGGATAAGGAGCTGAAGACAATCAAAAGGACGTAGCAGAGGTTTTGAAGGTGCTGCCGAAGAGGTCATATTGTACATATTTTGACCAATAATACCCTCCTACACCGTCTCTTGCTGTGCTCTTATAGTACATTTCTAACAACATTATTTAAATCACTTGGTCACACTGCATGGGTGTGTGGTGTGCATGTCGACAGGATATTTTGAAACCAGGCAGACTGAGATTTAAATCCTGATTCTGCATATACTAAGTGGAAAACTTCAGGCAAGTTTTTGTCTGTATTTTTTCTTTCTTTTCATTCTCTGGATCTTAATTTTCTCATATGTAAAGAGACCTAAGGCAATATTCTGGTTCAGTGTGGCAGATTTATCCTTGTATTTTATTTTCCCTCCAAAATTATCTCTGAAATAACAAAAGAAATAAAAAAGAAAAAATAAATCTCCAGCTGAAGGAAAGGCAAAAGAAGTATGGCAGCTGACTTGAACGACAGAGTTTCTGAAAGATAAAACAGAGGGGACAAACTGATGGTAAAACCTTAACAAAACTAAAAAAATCTACAGTGGGAGAAAGAGAAGATTCTCCAAGAAGGGGAGTTTTCCCAAAAGACCAGAACACCCCCAAGCTCAGTGGTCAATACAGGAACAAGCCAGGGGCGACTGGGCCACTGAACAGCTGCAGCAGGCCCTGCCCCAAGTGCAGAGGACTCTGGCATCTGCCCCTGGGATTAAAGAGGTAAGTGCATGACTCAGGGTGGGAGTTCTGCCCAGGGAATCTCCCAGAGTGGGTGCCTGGGCTGCCACGAGGATTTCCCCATCACCAAGCCCCACTCTCTCACAACAGCAACAAAGAAATAGGGCTTCTATAATCAGAACCTACATTCACTGCCAGAGCAAAAGGGTTTCTCACGTTAGCTAAAGATACACTCTAGCTACCAAGATTGTTCATTCTAGGCCTTTGTCAGTGTATATGGATGGACATCTCAAATTCCAGAAAAGTCAGTGGCAGGAAAGAGAGATAGAAAATTTAACAAAGAAAGTAACTTTGGAGAAAACAAAGATAATTACAGAAAATGGATGGGTCCTAGAGTAAGCATAATAGATGTGTCATGACACAGACTAAAGAGTTTTTCATATCCATACAAAGTAATGGGCTCCTATAAAAAGATGGACTCCCCATCTTCTTTTTCCTTCTTCAATCCTTTATTCTGCCCAACTTGTTTCCTTAGCCTTATGCCTCCTAAAATCTTATTTTCCTTCTTGTCTATATTGAAACCATATAGACTGGCTGTCTGCATCTATCATCCTTGCCCTCGTTTACCTCAGTATCTTCCCTTCTATGCTTTTGGCCTTTGCCAACACTATAGCACAAGGTTTAACAGATTCTGGCCTATTTATATACTTTTATATATGGAGCTATATTCAGGGGAGGAAATCACAAGAGAGAAGAAAGAGCTATTTGCCTCAGGACAGACTATGAAGGAAAAACACTCCATTTTCACAGTCCTATAGAGCTGGAAAACACTTTCTATTTGTATTATCTTTAATTTTTATCAAATTAATACAGGTACATAATTTTTAAAGTCAGAACCAAAAGGTCTATTATGAATAAAAGCAGTTTTAAGCTTTACCCCTCAACCATTCTTGATTTGTGTAGGTGTTTTCTTTGGCACTTACCTATTTATTTCTAAATATGCGTATGCTGCTATTCTTTGATATCTTAATTTCAGATTACCAACTTCCCATCATGGCAGAGGAAGTCTTAATTCTCCCATATCTACCTCTCCTACTACCCCTTTGTCCCCAATTCCCTAACAGTCATTTCATATGATTTTTCGTTCATTTGTTTGAAAATATCTTCTTTTCCGTGTTTTCCCCCTCTTTCATTGTTTGTTTGTTTCTGGAATTCTTATCTACCATTACTGGCCCTCCTAGGTTGATCTTAACTTTTTCTTCCAAATTTTCTATTTGTCTTTTGGTCTTTTTTTTTTTTCTTTCTTAAAGTTTTTCTCAGCTTTGTCTTCTAATGTTTATCTTGAAATTTAAAATTTTTGGATATCTAATTTCCAAAGGTTCTTTCTTGTTCGTTGCCCCCTTTTTTCTTCCCATATTATTTATGGATAAATTATCTTGTCAAAAATTTCAGCATTTTTTTTTTTTTTTGGTCCATGCACTCATTGTATAGCTCTACCGCATACTCTTTTTCTGTTTGTTTCTTTTACTCTCTTTCAAGTTGCAGACTTCCCTCAAAATCCTGGTGATGTCTGGCTGTGTCTGTTCAGTGTTCTAAAACACTGACTTTGAGAGCTAAGCGTGAGGCCTGTCTCCTGGGAGCCTTCTGTTGGATATTAGATGGCAGGAAGATCTTTGCACTTTAGGGAGCTCTCCTTCCATAGCTATAGCCAGTCATCTCTGTTCTGGTCATTCGGTGTCTCCTGAGATAAATCCTCCAGTCTCCCATATTAGATGGAGAATGGGACCAGGATCAAACCAATCAGTATGCAGACTTTCATTTTATTGCCTTTTAGCCTTGCACCTTCTTGTTTCTCCAACTGTGTCTGCCATCCCAGAGTCTGGAGCCTCTCAGTTCCAATTAGAAGAGGCTTTTGGAGTCATTTCATCTAATTCTAATTCTCCTTTTACAGATAAGGAGAATAAAGCTCAAAAAATTTATCTGTCCAAAGTAATAACTGTTAATAAATGGAGAACGGGAGACTTGAATCTGGGCTCCTGCTTACAACCAATGCTCTAGTCAGCTGAAAAACTGCTTCCAAAAATGTCAGAAATGACTCAAGACTTTTCTTTCCAGCTTCCTGGAAATCCTGGCAGACTTTTAGGAGGTGTGTCATGACAGCTAAAAGCTGCAGTAGAACTGAAATAAAATGAGTCCCACACCTGATCCCATCAGAAGAATGATAAGACTGGTCAGGAACACAGGCAAATTTTGAAAGTGAGCTGGTTAGTTTCCAGATGACACAATGGAATTACCACCACTGTTATGTTAAACTTCAAAATTTGATGGGTGAAAAAAACTTGACAGCCCTATCTTCATGAAGTATTATCCTATCAAAGTGTCTCCTTGGGCTGGAGTAGAAGTGACCTATTTCAACACAGCTGTCTCCTAAATGGTGCTCCATGGGAAAAAATGCATTACTTGAGAAAAGGAATTCCATAATTAAGAAAGTATGGTCAATGCTTTACAGAAATCTACACTGGTATCTTTAACACAGGACTTTTTAAAACCTTTAATATGCATTGTGGAATGGCATACGTGCCATGCCATGTACCATCCGCCCAGTGGACTTTCGCACAAAATCCCTTTTTTTTTCCAACTCCTAGGACTAGTGTTCAATGAAGACACTTTGGGAAATACAATTTGACCTCAATATTATATTTGTGAAAGTCCTGCTATGGAATATTTTGGGTAAGAACACAAAATTATTTGCTTCAACATTAATTACAAAAGGATAGAAGTTATCCCATAATTTAAAATACACATGATGAGTCAAGTTTATATGTTTAAAAGTAACTGTTTATCATTTACAGTGGCATTACTAAGAAGACAGTTCACTCTCTGGGGGCCTGGTGGCTCAGTCAGTGAAGTGTATGTCACTGGATTTCAGGTCAGTCATGATCTCATGACGACACCGACAGCGTGAAGCCTGCTTGGGATTCTCTCTCTCTCCCTTTCTCTCTCTCTCTCTCTCTCTCTCTCTCTCTCTTTCTGCTCCTCCTCTGCGTACACACGCACTCTCTCTCTCAAAATAAATCAATAAACTTAAAAAAAAAAAGAAAAGAAAAGAAAAGACAGTTTACTCTCAACAAACAAATGGTCTGTGCGGTAATGGTGAGAGACAAAAGCACTAACCCATATTATCATTAAACATTTAAAATGAGGTTTTCTCCTCGACACATACTATTCAGCCTGGAAGTGGGTCTGGCAGTGGTGGACTGAAGCGAAGCTGGCAGGGTCTCTGATTTGATCGTTACATTGGTGACCGCACCATCCATCCTCTCCGGCTCACACAGGCCTGGCAACTGGGCTGCCTTCTCCAGTGTGGGTAGTAACTGATCAAACTGGTCAAGGTCAGCTGTAAACTAAGAACGGAAACCAAAGTTAGAGAAAATATATCCTATACTTTACCTGAATCAATGTAGAAAAAAAGGTGCTCCTGGGGCGCCTGAGTGGCTCAGTTGGTTGAGTGTCCGACTTCGGCTCAGGTCATGATCTCGCAGCCAGTGAGTTCGAGCCCCGTGTCGGGCTCTGTGCTGACAGCTCAGAGCCTGGAGCCTGTTTCAGATTCTGTGTCTCCCTTTCTCTCTGACCCTCCCCCGTTCATACTCTCTCTGTCTCAAAAATAAATAAACGTTAAAAAAAAATTTTTTTTTAAAAAAGAAAAAAAGGTGCTCCCTTATACTCTGTGAGTTAAGTGTGACTATGAGGGAAAGAAAGAAGAAATAATCAGGAAGATTGGGGCCTCACTGAAATTATGTGAGCTACTAGAAAAAATGTGGATGCTTATGATATTAATATAGTGTAAGATATAAGATAATATACACATAATATGTGTCTACTATATTTGGGTACAAAATTTACGCACAGGAAAAAGATTGGACTGCAAAGAAGTATCAAAAGTACTGTGTTAGCTGACCATGGATGATTTTTGCTGTCATATTTTTTTTAAATCTTGTAAAATGACTTACTATATGATGGAATGAAAAATAAATTCACACTGATGTAACTTTATAATTTGAAATAGTTTGGGAAATATCTTAATAAATAGCACATCAGCTTCAAAGATCCTAAGAAGGCCACTTCCACTTGAGGATTTAATAAAATAAGAAACATATATTCTAGGAGCTCCTGGGTAGCTCAGTCAGTTAAGCATCTGACTTTGGCTCAGGTCATGATCTCACAGTTCTTGAGTTTGAGCCCTACAATGGGCTCTGTGCTGACAGCTTAGAGCCTGGAGCCTGCTTCGGATTCTGTTGTCTCCCTCTCTCTCTGCCCCTCCCCCACTCACACTCTGTGTGTCTCTCTCTCAAAAATAAACAAACATTAAAAAAATAAATTAATTAAAAAAAAACCCCAGAAACATATCTTCTAGACTAGACAGGGTATCCCTACATCTGTATGAGGTTATACATAGGAGGAAACTGACCTTTATTTCCCAGTATTATTCTATTAGGATTACTTTGAGATAATTCATCAACATAAAACAGGGTTTCACTATGTAATACAACTAAAATTTATATTTTCAGACTGCATAAATAGAATTATATACATGCATTTTTTTAAATGTCTGACATCTTCCACTTAACATTACATTTCTGATTCAGAGATCTTGTCACATGTAGCAGCAGTTATTTGGTTTTCACTGCTGAAAACAAACCCATTGTACGAACATACCACACTATATATCCATCTTACTCTGATGGATTTATGGGTATTTTCAGTCTGGGGCTAATACAAATAAAACTACTATGAACATTTTTGCACATGTATTTTGTTACACATGTGCAAAAAGTACTAATTATAAAGGAAAAGACTGGCAAATTGGACTACATTAAAATGAAGAACTTCAATTCATCAAAAGTACCATTAAAAGAAAGAAAAGGCAAGTCAAAGCATGGAGAAGTTTGCAAATATATAACCAACAAAGGACTCATCCAAAAAAATGTAAAGAACTCTTATAAGTCAATTAGAAAAAGACAACATATTGGGAAAATGGGCAAGCCACTTGAATAGGCAATTTACAAAAGAAGATATCCAAAGGATCAATAAACGTTTATTAAGGAAATGCCAATTAAAACTATGAAGTACCACTACCACAGACCCCAGAATGTCTAAAATTTAAAAGACTGACAATACCAACTATCAGCAAGGACATGGAACAACTAGAAGGAATTCTTTGTACACACTAGGAAAACTGGCACTATCTACTAAAGATGAATATACATGTATCTTATAATCTTGCAATTCCACTCTTAGTATAAACTCAGCAGAAATGCACGTACATGTAAACTAAAACAGATGTACCAGGATTGTACAGTTAATTTTACAGAGTGAGAGTTTTAATATAGTTATTATTTAAAGCTGTTTTTCAGCTTAAAAAACAAAGTATTAATTTACTTGTACCAAGAAACATGAAGGATAGCCTCATCCTCAAAGAGCACAATGAAGAATTAACCACAATAGTGTTATTGCAAATGGTACAGAGACAAGACGGAGCACTATGAATGCAGAGGAAAGAAATGTCTAACGAGAACTAGAGGGGGAGGCTTTATAGAGATGATGTCTGAACTGGTCTGTGAAGGATGAGGAGAAGTTCAGCAGACATAGAAAGGAGAGCAAGGCAGAAGATGCTTAGAAGAGACATGGCTTATCCCAGGAATGGCAAGGACTTCCATGTGCCTAGAATGCAGTATGTCTGAGGGAAGAGAGAGATCTCTGTGAGACAAAGGTAGAATATAAAGTCAGCTCAAGAAATGAAAGACCTATGCACACTAAGTGTGAATCTTGTTTCACAACGGAGAGTCTCATTAATAAGCTGCTTTGTAACTGTATTTCCAGCTATCTCATACTTGTCTATATTCCATCTAAATAAGTTGTTAGCTCCTAGGGCGAAGAGACCATATTTTCAGTTTTTCTTAAATTCCTCCCGAGTCCACGCAACTATTCAATAAATGAAGCTGGCTGTTAATTTCACTCCACCCCCACTTCAGCCTAAACATAGAGGTTTCTAATTCATAACAATTTATGCAAAGATTTATTTGTGTTCACTTCTGTGTCAGGGCCTGTTATGTACCCTACTTCCCAGAATACTCGAAGTCCCTCTTCTGATAAGGGCTGAAGGCTGAGAAGAAAAAGAGCCTCAGAAAACGCTTCAAAGGAAATTGAATAGCAAAGCAAGCCAGACGAGACAGTCTTGTCCACCGCCTCACACTTCTCTCCCATTTCACTTACCTCGGAGCTTCCCAAACTTAGCTATACATCAGAGTTCCTGGTGAGCTCCTTTAAAATACCGACTTCTGGGTTCTATTTTCAGAGTTGGATTCAACAGGTCGGGTTGGGAGGAGGGGGCAGGAAAGGTATGCTCAAAAATCTCCAAAGTTGTGAACTAATTTTATAGAAAGAAGAAAACATCTACTTGCTTAGAACGCCACATTAAAACTGTAGCCCTCCGAAGTTCCAACGAGAACTTTTGAGGGCATCCTGTGATTTTTTCAACCATTGATACTAATCTTTTTTTTTTTTTTTAATTTTTTTTTCAACGTTTATTTATTTTTGGGACAGAGAGAGACAGAGCATGAACGGGGGAGGGGCAGAGAGAGAGGGAGACACAGAATCGGAAACAGGCTCCAGGCTCTGAGCCATCAGCCCAGAGCCCGACGCGGGGCTCGAACTCACGGACCGCGAGATCGTGACCTGGCTGAAGTCGGACGCTTAACCGACTGCGCCACCCAGGCGCCCCGATACTAATCTTTTAATATATGCTCAGTGGGTAGGACAAAACACAGCCTGAATCCAAATCTGGTTTATGGCTGGAGGAAAACAAATGAAAAGGGAAAAATAACTATGCACGTTCATTCTCTAAAGCAAGGAATTACCTACCTGGCTCTGGGACTCCAGTTTAATTTCCTCAGGAGCAGGTTTGGTCATTGGGGTTGGGTTTGTGTTACAAGGATCCATCTGTTCTTTCTTTTCCACTTTCACCTTCACATCATCCAGGCTCAGGTTTGGAGTTGATCTTATATCTTTCTCATCTTTATCTAAAAGATATCGTAGGAGCTGATGGTCTTTTGATTCTTTTTTCTTTGAAGCATCCAGTTCTAGTTTTACGCTCGAGTTCCCTTGTACCTGTCCAGTCACTGACACAGAAGTAGACGCACTGTCCTTTTTATCAGGTTCGACAGATAAAGTGGTGATATCCGAGGGGCTGCCCTCCTGTAAGAGCCTGTGCAGAATCTTGTGCCGCTCTGTCAGTGAGCTATGAGAGGAGGGGCAAGAGCCGCTCGAAGAGTTAGCAGAGGCCGAGCCGGAAGTGCCTGAGCAAGACAGTACCTCTTTGCAACTTGTGTCTATATCGGCATGCCGTAACTGCTGCTCTGCTGTTGTTGTCAGAAGCTGCACTAGTTTGTGACTGGTTTGGGAGTATTTATTGTCTCCATCTGAGAGTCTGTCATTGTTATGCAGAAGCCCGGAATCCAGAGGTTTGCCATCACTAGAGCTGTTGTCGGACTGAATCATTTCATTTAAAATGGATGCAATCTCTTTGTTATCTTTGGACTCGGCTTTTGTGGGCTGTATATTTAATCTGCTAGGTGAATTCTGCGAGCTCATCTGCCTGAGGACTGGAGAACTGGCAGAGAAGCCAACAGAGTTATTGGGTCCTTCATTCATACTCTGTAAAGATGTTACTGGGATGTTTGAATAAGATCGGTTACTATTATTACAGGTACTACCTGTCATGCCAACGGGAGAGCTTAATGTTGGAATATTAGGAGGAAATGAATTGTTTGGCATCCTGGGCCTTGTTGCCAATCCAGAACTAACTTGTCTCCTTGGAGACATGAACTGTGCGAGAGATATTCCTGTACCTTCCATAGGAGAATTATTGAGGTTTAAGGAGGGGTTAGTGCTCTGGGAACTGGCCTGTCCCTGGTTTAAGGCAACACTGGCTACAATCTGATTTCCAGGTGAGCATCCAAAACTCCCTTGGCTGTTGCTAGAGTTACTATGACTGCTGCTATGGAGGTCTGAGCTCTGTTGGCGGTTTACTCTGGGGGATACCATGTTGTTGCTGGATGGTGGCAATGTGGATGAACGAGCCACACCATGAGCCGGAGAGATACTAGAATTGACGGACGGGTTTACTCGGGAAATTGACATTCCAGAATTAGTGTCATCTTGAGGAGAAAGACCACTGTGTTCCCTAGGAGGAGAAAAGACATTATTCAAACATCTCCACTGGTTTCCATTAAAATATTTTTATGATGCATATTATAAACCAAGACCATTAACCTCATTAATACTGCAAGCCATCAAGAAAAGAGCTTCTGTATCACCTTAAACTAAAGAGAAACAGTGGACTATTAGTACTATTGTGAAATATTAGCACCACTTAATGGGAAATGGTGCTCAAGGTTCCATAAATTTGATAATGGTTTCAGTTATAGGAAAAACAAATCTTTCTTAGCCTTGGAAAAAATCCAATATAGGTACTTTTAAACTTTTCAAAATGTAATATAAATACTTAACATTACAATAATATTTTTGGTTGAGAAACTTCCCACACCTCTGTTTATGAAGTCTTTATTCATGACTCCCTTGTTACAGCTTTTAAGTATTTCAACTCCAAAGAGGAAGACTGGGTAAGGAAAATACTGTGTCACTGATGTAAAAATTAAAAAGGGTGATATGCAGACATAGCAGATGTTTTGAAAGAGAAATCACAATATGAAAAAAAGAACTGTGCTAATTCCACTCACAAGAATAAATTAAACTAAAATTAGAAAAAAACAGAATACTGAATTCAGATTTTCATCGAGCTCTTTACTCAAATCCATAATTATGACAACAGATTTGTGACTGGTATTACCATGTTCCAATAAGCAAATATATCAGATGAGGAAAAGATGAAGTGAGGGGAAATGTCTTTGTTTTTGTTTAATGCTACATTTTAAATAGTTACAAATGTAGGGTTTTGAATAATTCATAGGATAAAAGAATGGTTCCATGAATTTACCATATATACCAATGTAAAATGTATTTAGAGAGGGGAACAAATTAGAGGCAATGACACTCGAAAATCTCAAGTTGATAGTTTAATGACTTGTAGTTCCAGAAACTGTCAACTTGAACTCAGGAGCCATCGAGTCTGCACTAACGAAAATATAACACTTTTAAAAATAAAAATAACAATAGTAACAAACTCTGAAAGCTTTTATAAGACCAAAGTTCACACGTGGAATGTTGGATATTTTTAGCCACTTTTTTGGTTTTTACCCCCAAGACACATATTTTCAGCCTAACCTTCCCTGTGTCCCTTTTTAAACAAAACAAAACAAAACAAAAAACAAAAACAAAAACAACAAAAAGTAAGGCTACTGTTACGCGACAAAACTATAAAACCCAGTATGGATATACTGATTATATACTCATCACGCTAGTTTTAATTTAGAATTTTTGTTTTCTAGCCATTAAAGAGTATAAAAAATTTCTTCTCTGAGATATGTGAACTGACTTATATCATATGAAGCTCTCCAAATAAGTAGTACCTGTCGATGATATGAATTCCCATGATGAAAGGTTGCATGTCTGGACTTTGAGGGTAGCAAAGCTTACACTTGGTGTGGGCGCTAAGCATTGTCCCATCATTCAATATGAATCTATAGGATGGGCTGGACGCAGTGCCACGGGTCATCACTGTTTCAAACGAAAGAAAAACCTAGTTAAAATTCTGACACTTGCACTTCGGGTGGAGGAGAGTTACCATGCCTTCCTTCTACCTCGAACCTCATTTTAAATGCCCTCCCAACCGCTGCCTGCTCAGTCAAAATAAAGAATACTTCAGACAAAGCAGAGATCTGAGCGGGGGGAAAAAGATTCTGGTTGAAATAGACCACTTAATGACAAGTTTTCATTTAGTACTACTTGAACGAGTGCCTCTTCACAGAAGTTAAAATTATGAAGAAACTTCAAACCAGGCAAAAAAAGTCAACCTTAATTTTTCTCCATAATGGGACAGCTCTTCAAATTACCAGGAAGTAATTAAAACACCAGGAAGTAACCTTCTCTCCTTTCCCTTTCAGTATTACCTCAAACAAGTTTTTTTCTTTTTTTCCTTCCCTTTGCTGGCTGATTATTTAATGACAGCTTTACTGAGATGTAATTCATATACCATGAAATTCACCCTCTCTCTGTTTTTATTAGTATGCAGAGTCACTTAACTGAAATTCAAATGTAATTTTTCACTCAGGAATGTAAATCACTGACAAATTACTGTATTCACATATATGTATTGTTTTTGATGTTTGAATTTAGTGTAGTAAGCAAATCAAGATAAAGCCAATGGTTACTAATATAAAAAACAAAAACTAGGTTAAGGCAGTCAAATTACTACATAAACAACATGATCTGCTTTTGTCTTAAAGCTTTATTAATAGCAGACAAATTCTAGCCATATTGGTAAGTGTTTATTAAATATGTAAAGGCTATATCAGACTACTAAGTAAGAAAATGTCATAGGTATTTTAGCAATATAATAAAATTCTATTTTAAGAAAGATTTAGTAGGTAGATTCAGCTATACCAAGGTTAAAAACCATATTCACTGAAAAACAAGAATTACTACCACAAATGACTATTACAATTTAGCCTGCAATAAATGTTAGTCCTATTCTTCAAAGACATTTCAGAAAGCCCTTCTATTACATTTTAAAGACATGTTAAAAAGACTTAAAATGACCAATCACTAAATATTTTTTGAAGCTACATATTACTTTAAGTAAAGAGAAGACATACTCTCTTTTATTGCTTTGGGTATACTTTACATACTGAAGCGGGCATAATCTGTTGTAAATCTATACCATACACAAATCAAACTAAGTACCAAAATTAGGATATAAACTTAATTGAAAGGATTAAGATTTATGTCCAACCAACCACATTCCTTACCCATTTGGCAATTTCGGCCAAATCACTGGTACATTTACCAAATATAACATTCAGAGAAATTTACTACTTAATGAAATAACATCTAATGAAAGACAGTCTTAAAGGAAATGAGTAATTTTTGTATAAGGATACAAATAAATGTTTGGTGTACCTAAATCCCAAACTGTTAAATCTTTACCAATATGTTTTGGAAAATATATCTACAACAAAAAGTAGCATTTTAAAATAAATTATTAACTTGGGATAATGATAAAGCTATAGCTATGTAAAGGGCCAAGCAAGATACATTTCATGTTATTTTGCTTATGCCATTTGGTCTATTTCTTCATCATTGTTTATTGACCTTAGGATCTCCCCATTCTGCTGGAAAACACTGGCTCTTCACTATTGAGCTGAACTGTCCGATATGGTATCCACCAGCCACATGTGGCTATTTAAATTTAAAATTAAATAAAATTTTAAATTCAGCTCCTCAGTCACACTAGCCACATTTCAACTACTTAATAGCTACATGGGGCTAGTGTCTCCCATACTGGACAATACGGCTATGTACAATCTGACTACCACTTACATTTCCAATCTTATTTTTCATTGCTTCCTAAACATTTCTTCTATATCTCTTTATTTTTTATTAATATATTTATTTATTTTTCAATTTACATCCAAGTTAGTTAGCATATAGTGCAACAATAATTTCAGGAATAGAATCCAGTGACTCATCCCCTACATATATCACCCAGTGCTCATCCCAGCAAGGGTCCTCCTTAATGCCCCTTGCCCATTAAGCCCATCCCCCCACCCACAGCCCCTCCAGCAACCCTCAGTTTGTTCTCTATATTTAAGAGTCTCTTATGTTTTGTCCCCCTTCCGGTTTTTATATTATTTTTGCTTCCCTTCCCTTATATTCATCTGTTTTCTACCTTACATTCCATATGAGTGAAGTCACTTTTGTATCTCTTTAAATAAGAGGCAGATAACTTCAGACATTTATTTTTCTTCATCAGCTAAAATAAACATAAGGGCTAGTTCTGTGTCCCATTCTTGTTTTCCACTCTCCTTGAATTGTGCACAATGCTTTGCATATAAAATCACCCAGTAAGTACTTGCTGATTGACCCTCAACTTGAATCTCATCTAAACAGACTAATAATGACTTGTGATCAACTACTATAACTTTTCTTTAAAGGATAGATTTTAAATCTTAGCTGATAAGATAAATGCTTATATCTCAGTTTATGTTCTTGCTCTTACATGACTCTGGACTTAATTTTTATAATGAAAATTAATGGAGAGAAATTTCTTGATTTGTTGGTAAGCTGTATAAAGTGAGAAAGAACTAGAAACTCAGACCAGCATGGGAACACTAAGATCTTTAATGTGGATTACAGAAACATGATTGGTCCTTTGGTAACTAGGCTGCCTTAACTTGTAGGATTATATCTATCTAAACTAGTAAAAATTCCAAAATTGGGGAACCCTTCTTAACTTCATTCAAGGAAATCACTACACTTAAAAATTTCAAGTTAGATTATTTATTTTGGATGGTAGTGTGTGGAAAAAAGACAGCACACATAATTCACACAGTCACTCTTTGAAAAGAAACAAAGGTAATATTAAATAGAGTAAAGCTTTAATTATTAGAACTTAATTAAGACTATCCAGTTAACTAAAATTCTTCTGGTGCTCAACTGTTCAGACAGAAAGGTAAACAGGACAGTAATATGGTTCAATGAAAAGAATAAGAGCCTAGAAGTCAGATTTAGACTTGAACTCTGACTTTGTCATTTACAAGTTTAGGACTTCATAATGCAAATTAACCTTCGCCCATTATCACTAAAACGGAGCCGGTAATGTTGTGAGATAATATCTCATATGGAGCCTAGTACATAGCAGGTACTGAATGAATATTTCCTGAATAAACACCAAAGAAAAAACAAACACAAAGTACATACATCCTGAGTCATACACATTCAACCAATCCCTAGATACCATTCACACCAATAGCTTCAATCCTATATAATGATCATTCATATTTTGAATTAAGACATGATTTTACAGCTTTACAGAGCTGGCTGGATAAACATTTGCTCTGCACACCAAATTTTCACTTTAAATGGGTTTCAAGGTTTACGACTGGACAAAACTATTTGGAATGTCATTTTGATCATAGCTCCTGGCCTTGTTTTCCAGTCTAGGTCTGCCAGGTATATAGCTAGCTACTATTGTAATTCCTGACTACTGTGTCCATTTCTACAATTTTTAGAACACTTAGTGTGAAGGGATACCATTGATGTGGCATTATTGACACCCCCGAAATTCTTCTAGGAACCTTTAAAATAACAACTGTTTTCATCCCCCCTCCAGAATAGGCCTCAACAGAGCTATGAAGCAAAGGAAACCATTCCCTCTGGCCATAGTAGCTGTAAAACTAGAGCTATTTGGGTTTGTGACTCCACCAATCTAGTGCCGAGATCACCTCAAGGAGCATGTATGGGTAGGTATAAAATGTGTGGCAGAGCACTACAGGTCAATGCTGGGAGAGATTTTTTTCCTTTTGGTATTTCTCTAGATATGTGCAGGAAGAATGCAATTTAAAAAACTGTTATTAAGGTAAAGAAAAAAAATTACCCCTCGATGCTCTAAGATATTCAATCACCAATGAGCAAACCCTATTCAGTATATCAAAATTTCTAAAAAAGAAAAATAAATTCATATTTTAAATACTTTCAACAAGCCTAACAAAAAAAGATTTTCAGTTAACTCTGTGATAAGGACCATGGAATTAACCACATTACACAAGTCTCAGAGAACATCCTGGTTAATCATTCATATGGGTGCTTATGTTTTACAGCAATGCTTCCAAACTTCTTGATACGATAAACTCCTTCCAATTGTCTCGTGATTTTTTAAATTAAAATAACTTTATTTTGTGATTATAACATTAATAGAGAAATGAGCAGAGTAAGATAAAGTCATTTGTAATCCCATCACTCAGAGATAACCACTGTTCACATTTTGTAAGCCTTCTAGAATTGGATAAACAAACATACAGAAGTGAGTCCTACTATATATGCTGTGCTTTCATAGCCTACTTTTCAATATAACAATATATCATGGACATCTTCAAAGCCAAGAAATGATGATCCATTACATCACTGATAATAAATAAGCAGTTCTTTAATAAAACTTTCCTAGGTTATCTAGACCAACACTCCCCATGAATGCTACTCTCCCTAAATGCTGATAGATGTGCTACAGGAAGAAGTATTCTGAGGAAAAATAAGTCTGGATAACAAAATTAAACAGGTACCTTTAAGGTGGAACCTCCCAGAAACTTAAATACCTTAATTATGTCTTATGAATCCCCAAGAGTGGGGGACTGAAACATTCCCCAAACTGAATTCAGCACGAAACATAATTTCTCAGTTATAGCTATTAATGTCTTGTGGAATGTAGGTTTACGTTTTCCAAACTTCTCTGTAAGAAAACATCTTAGACTATACACCCTGATTCAGTAGTGTGGGTGGAGTCCAGAAATCTGGTTTAACAACTTCCCTCAATGAATCTTATCAAGGACCTCTGGGATGCATTTAACCCAAACCTTTCTTGAAAGGAATGGTTCTCAATTGAACCAAATCTGGAAAACCTTTTCAAACCATAAACACCTACAAGGACCTAGTTTAAAAAGTACCTCAGGTGATTGTGATCCCCATTTCTCCCTAATCTAAGTGGAGAACCACTGCGTAATCTAGTTCATGCTGAATGCTCCCACATATTCTTTGACTGAAATGTGTGTGTGTGTTTACAAATTTGATTCTAGAAAATAAAATGGTAAACCCCCTTTAAAAACAGTCCATGAGCAGGTGGGTGCCTGGGTGGCTCAAGTCAGTTGAGCGTTTGACTTTGGCTCAGGTCATGATCTGATGGTTCATGGGTTCGAGCCCTGCACTGGGCTCTGGGTTGACAGCTCGGAGCCCGGAGCCTGCTTTGGATTCTGTGTCTCCATCTCTGTCTGCCTCTCCCCTGTTTGTGCTCTGTCTCTCAAAAATGAATAAATGTTAAAAAAAATTTTTTTAAAGTCCATGCACTATCTCTGTCAAAAGCAGCTGAAAAACTACGCTAAGAACTAATTTAAAGTTTAATGCATATTATCATTTTCTACCAGCCACTACCTTCAAAGAGTAAGTTAATGGGCAGAAAAAAACACATGGAAGGCAAATTTTTCTTGCCTAAATATCAATCACTATGGAATTGTATAAACTTTTAACTTTTTAAAAGTGTCACACAAAATCAAGTTTCACACAGTGGCATAATTTCACTCTTTCACACTGTCCTTAGGTAAATAGGGAGCAAATGCAAATATACACCTCTTCTGACTCTGGACAGACCTCAAACTTGATGTACTTAAATAAGCACGGCCTTGGGAGTTTAAGAGACCTGGGCCCTCACAGATTTTCATTCAGCGGGTCAACATCTTTAACAGATGATCCCCATGTGAGGGTTTCACGGATCGTTTTCTTACCAGGTTATATAATCTGAGTACGAAATATCAGAAGAAGATGTGTTCAGTCCATGAACACTGGCAAATTGTCCAGAATCTCCAAAACACTATATAATCAGAGTCATGTGAACTCTGGACAACAGTGCTGAGAAAAATACAAGTTATCTCTGTTGAGGAATGTTTTCTTCCCAAAAGAAGTGGAAGAAAAGGACATGAAGAAATGACTAATGGGGAAAAGGTGCTGAATTATATTTCTTTACATTTTACTCTAAATTGTTTTACTTCATATGTGAATGACAGTTACTTGTTACACTTTAATCAATCTGCTTTATAGAGGATTCTTAATGGTTTAGAAACACATAAACTGTGGTTCAGTTACATCTACAGGGAACCTAGTCATTTAGACAATGAGATCATAATCTGGACCTGCAGAAGTATATATAAATTATATATAAATTATATATATATATATATAAATTATAGGCAAATAAAATTAAATCTTTCAGTTAAAGTCTTGGAAGTCACAACTTAAAAGTTAAGGCAAAAACTTAAGAGTATCATATACTTCAGCATTTTAGGCAGTGAATGGAGATAGTGCTCTGAGACTCAAACTTATGCAAAACTCAAGTGCCATTCTTGGTAGAGAGAGTCACAAAGTTTGCAACCAGTAAATGGCATCATAGTTGCTTACTTCAATAGTTTCCAAACCTGACTGCACTTCAGAATTGCCTGGGGACTTGAAAAAAAATATAGATTCTTGGGGCGCCTGGGTGGCTCAGTCGGTTAAGCATCCGACTCTTGGTTCGGCTCAGCTCACAGTCTCATGGTTTGTGAGTTCGAGCCCCATATCGGGCTCCATGCTGACAGTGCAGAGCCTGCTTGGGATTCTCTCCTGCTCTCTCTATCCCTCCCCCACTCACTTGCTCTGTTTCTCTCTCAAAAATAAATAAATAAACTTAAAAACATTAAAAAAAAATACAGACTCTTGGTTTTATCCACTGAAATACCATCTTTGGGGAAGGTATCAGTCTAGTAAAAGTCCCACTGGAGAACTATTAGTCTCCAGGAAGTTGTCCCAACAGTAACCAGACTAGTGAGATTCATACAGATGGGTTCCTGAAAAAAACAAAAAAAAAACAAGCTGCTTCCTCTCCATGTATCATCTGGAAGCAGCTGACCTACAATGTAATGAATGGCAAATCATCTATAAAGTTAGGAAACCTATTATGGGGAAATATTAAAATTAAGAAGGGTGATAGAATAATGAAAATATTTTTACACTGCCGTTTAGGAAGAGCCATACGAAGAGTCTCTTTGCAAAGAAACTATTAGAGAATAGAGAATAAATTATACTGGGAACACAGTATTAGGCTACCATAATTCTGTGATATTTTAAAAGTGTATCAAAACCCTCACCTCTGAAATTCTATGAACTTTCTCAAATAATTTTCCCTATGTTTCCTGTAATACTGTTAAGTTCCTTAAGGGCAAGGAATATACTTGTTTTATCTCCCATAGTACTATGACACAGCATCTATACAATTATTAATTTCATATGACATATTTTAACTTGAAACTTCAACAGGAGTCAGGTGATACAGGAACCATAACAGTAACGAAGTCAACATGTATAATTCGGATTTCTATATTAATTAGAAGCCCTTTCACATGTCTCTTCTGCTGGGAATGATCTTCAAAAGCCAGATGAAATGATCACTTTCTCTCTGCAGCCATCCCTGATTCTCCAAGTCAGAATTAATTTTTTTCTTCTTTGGTTATACCTCTAGACATAAGGCCATGTCACACTGATCTTTAAAGTTGTCATATGTTGTCCTAATATATTTTGAGCTCCTTGAGGGCAAAACCCTGCTTATTCGTCATCACTGTATCCCTGCCATCTGAAATAGTGTTCTATGTATGTGAAGAACTTGATACATGTCTGCTGAATGAATGAATGAATGAATGAGTGAGTGACCACCACATGATATCCTCTTCTTTAAAATGTGCATCCCAAATTCAGGATCCACTCATGAATTACTTTGCTTACCCATTTCTTCCTTTCCTAAAACTGATTATTGCAAAAACTGTAATTTGGAGAAAATACTTATCAAGCCATAAGTTCTACATAAATTACTTGACATGAATAAAAAGCAAGGTTAATGAAAGTAATTAAGAGAGAAAAAACTTTACCTTCTTGAAACAGTTGTCTGGCATAAGATGGTTCTCTGCCCTGAGGTTGGAAAAAAGCATAAATGCACTTCCTCACTAAATCTTCCCAGCCAGTTCTGCCAGCAGCTCTCAGGGAACTGGTATCAATAGAGATGATTTTGCCTACATGAAGAACCAAAGTTTACACTTGTGATAGCTTCTTGATATAAGTCATCCATATTTCAAAATTAACAACTACATCTAAGAAATGTGCTGCCGCTCCTAAATGTTTAATGGACAAAAACATTAATAAACTATTGATTTTTGTTACATATGATAATGGAGTATATCACTTACATGACAATAAAAAATTGTTTTGGCCTCTAAAATTCCATTCCAGTCAAGCATTAAAGTCAAACTACAAAGGCCTGAAGGTGCAGAGGCTAATATAGGTCCAACTCCTCATACTTGCTCTTTGGATCCTACTCTAATATATCCTAACAACTGGAACACTTATTGGGGAAGGAGAGGCAGAGATGAAATATATTATTTTGGTTTAAATTAATTTCCATTAACTAAGTGAAGAGAGTACGAGAAAGTAGGCAAGACCTTCCTTTTCTACCTCGTCTTGGGCATTTGAGAGTAAACAAAGACTGAAGGCAATAAAAGTTACATCAGAAAAAGATATGTCAGAACCTAAGATTTGTAAGACATTCTGCACAAAGAACATATGCTTTATAAAAATGTAGTGGTGATTTGCTATTGTCATCCTATTTGAACAAATTTCCTAGATGGCTGTGGAAGAATTCAGGTAAATTATTCCTTGGTTAACCAGGGACCAATTGTTTCAGTTTGGGATTGTTCAGATCTGTTTTATTTCTTGATGCAACCTGATATTAACACAAAATAATACAGGTTATACACACACACACACACACACACACATGCACAATTAGATTAATAACATAAAAACCTGCAAACCCACCATCCAACTTCAGAACTTGAACATCAGCTATACGATCCCATCATGTGTGTACTCCTCACTTGCCCCAACCCTGTTTTTACATTCTCCTGTCAAGGGACATCTAAATTGTACCCCCCCCCCTTTTTTTTTTTTTTTACAATCGGTGCTTCTGTGAACATCATCTACATTTTCCATGGTGCATGTGTGTGAGAGTTTCTCTAGGGTATATACGTAGGAACAAAACTGTTGAGTCACAGGTTATGTGAACGTTCAACTTCATAATATTAAATTGTTTTCTAGGAACTTACATAGAAGTTACTGTTAATCCAACATCCTCTCCATCACTTGGGGTACTGTCAGTCTTTATTTTTTACAATTAGTAGGTGAAAAATGTTTATGCTCTAAATTTGTACCTCCCAATGAATAAGGTTGAGTATTTTTCATGTTTCCTCTTCTGTGAATGTCCGATTTGTCTTTTCCTTATCTTTCCTCTTCTCACAATCAACTCAAATCTATTGTACTATTTGTGTGTTCTCATTTTAACTAATCCCTTCTATATACATTTCACTTGGTTTGTTTGGAAATAAACGTATTAAGCCTCTTTAAGTGAGAGTCTTGAATCTGATATATCTGAGTCTGTCTGATAAGGCTGTCACCCAAGTCTTGGCATAAATGTAAATGGTAGAAATTTCAACTTAAATAAGAAAATTTTGTTATTTAAGAATAGTTTGGGCAAAGCCTGATAAACCCCTGATTGCAACTATAGACAATTCTGGATTTTTTAAGAATTGTAATTATTTAATCTTTTGCCTCTTATTACATCAGAGGTCAAGAGTTGGTTGTAGCAGAAAATCAACTGTTATGTGATCTTCACAAGCAACAATGCTTCTAACAGGCAATGACTAAGGGAGAGGTGTGTGTGTGTGTGTGCGCGCGTGCGCGTTCATGTCAGTACTAACCACAAAGAGCAAGAGTCTACAACTGCAGGACTGGAAGGGAGAAAGTGATTCAATTATTAGCAATGGTAACAAATGATTAGGTAATACAGAGACTATCTTAGAAGAGAATCATGAATAGGTTGATTTAGAGTACCTCTGCTTGCTGGAGGAAAGTTTAACCAACCAGTCAACCAATCAGACAAACCAGTAAGCCCCTGTTCAACATTTCCTGGTAGAAGACTTCTTTTTTTAAGGGACATGAACCACCCCATGGAGAGTTAAAACTACTACTAAAATTTAAGGAATTAAATATCTAATATTTATTATAGCTAGTTTATTATTGTTTTAAATCTAAATCAATTTGATCATATAATAAAACGTTAGTTTTACATTTTAAGAACACTTTATTTCTTTGGTACCTTTTTATTTCCTTCTATTTACATTTCCTCTGGCATCTTTTATGTAATAAGTGCATACAGTACAGTAATGTCCTTTTACTAGTGCTTTGGTGGAAAGCAATGCAACAGAAATGAAGGGTCCTATATTAGGGCCTAAGGATATCTGTTCTCAACAATTAGCTGTATGGTTCTGGAAAAGGCACCATTCCATCATTTGTAAAATGGGTAGGCTAAAGTCTGTGATCCCTGAGGTTCCCTGTAGGTTTATAATTATTTTATGATTCGGAGTTCAATTTTTAAACTTTTATGTATTTATTTTTAAATCAGGTATATCTAAGATAGTAATGCTGGGTCCTTGGCCAGAAACAAAACTACCAGTCACAACAGTGTTCCTATGGGATAATACAGTCTTCTTTTAAAACAATTAATGATTCAATTTGTAGAAATTCAATATAAGGAAAAGCTGAAATATATTGTTCCTAAATTATCCTCATAATTTTTAAGCATCCTTCATCTTCCACATTTATCCTGTAGCCTAACCATCATCCTTTCCAGCAAGCTCTTATTCTGCTATCTCACCAGCCCTTACTTGGTTTTACTGACACAAAAGACCAGTTATATTTGTCAGAGGACCCTATTTTTCCTCCATGCCTTAGTGGTTTTAGTTTTCAATAAAGGTTATCAAATTTTTCCAGAGCTGTTCATTGGTAGAAAATGGAAAAGGACAGGTAGATGGCAGACTCAAAAAGGGAACGAAGAAAGTTACGGTTAAGTGATAATTACTACGCTCAAATTCTGTATCTCCAAGTCCTAGATATTCTCTTTACTGTATTCTATTATTTGTGCTAATTTATCCCCATGTACTCTTTAGTTAGAGCAGCTGGGAGCTTATCTTTAAAAACACAAGAATAAGGACACCACAACAGGAATACTTGATTTCTGGGACTAAAACATTAATAAGTATTGTAACAAATATTAATAAATTTATAAAAATGGTAAAGGTCAAAAAGTACATTAAAACCAAATTTTCACAAAGAATAAAATTCAGTAGAAATGACTGTTTAAACCTTGGCCTGCTTAAAAAAAAAAAAAAATCTATCTGTAGTATCTTATCCCTATTTTAAAATATCCCTATTTTAAAGTGAGAGAGGCAAGTGATACACACCTAACTCTGATGTAAAAGTATGAAACTTGGTGTGTTCAAAGTGAAGATTACATAACATATGGAAAATTCTATGTAAAATTGTAAAGAACAACAACAGATTGTTTTTGCCAAAGATCAAATCTGAAGCAGGCCTTTTCAAAAAGGGCCTTACTTTCTGGAAGTCCTACCATTACTTACTCTGGGCTCTGCTGCCCTTCTTTCAGCTCGTCTGACACGCCTGTCTGTTTCCTGAGGGCCATCACAGCTCTCCTCCCTCAATCAGGAGTCCTCACCCCGCACCATGACCCCTCCTCGCCACCCCCTCCACCCTGTGCAGAGTTTGCACCACCTCATCCTTTGGAGCTCAGGGCTCCGTATCAGCTCCTCAGACAGGCACTGGTTAACCAGCTAATTTAAAAACAGGTTCTCCCTGTTCGCTTCCCTTTTACCATCTCACACCTTTTCCATCATAAAATGCACCACAATTTGTAATTACGTTATTGATTTTTGGCTCAGCCTTGTATACCAGAGCAGTCACACATAGTGACAGGCACTTCTAGGCACTCGATCAGTATGTGCTGAATACATTTAAAGAAAAAGAAGAAGGGAAAAAGAAATAGCTATATACATTTAAGCATAATTTTAAAGCCACCATTTATAAATAAATATATTTACATCTACATTGCCAAGTTTCTTTAAAAATTTTATTCCATGATTATGAAAAGTAATTTATAACCAAAACAATATGTTAATAGTTATAATATTCCCCCCAGCACCCTGCTCATGACAATGATTTTAGCATCTAAAATGCACAAGATCAATGGGGCATCTGACTGACTTGGTCGATGCAGCATGGGACTCTTGATCTTGAGGTTATGAGTTCGAGCTCCACATTGGGTATGGACTTTGCTGAAAAGTAAAATCTTAAAAAAATAAAAAAATAAAATTAAAATAAAATGCACAAGATCAGGACTATCATTTAAAGTATTTTTTGTATAAGACTGGTGAACAGAAGCTGAATGGCAGAGAACAGACGAACACAAAATTTTGGATGTAATTCTAAACTTTGCAGTTAGTACCTGTAGTATCTTGCTTGGTCATAAAGGATTCTACACCGGTAATAGCTGGAGGCCGAGGTAATCGCCGTGCAATACAAATCAAACATGACTGGAAATCTGCCCAAAACAAGAAGGGGAAGTTGAAGAAAGGAGGGCAGAAAACAGTTCACATCTATCATTTGCCACTAATGGTTTTTATAAAAACAACATGTTGCGGGATCTGACACAATATCGGAGCCACTCTGATCTAGTAATATAGTATTAGTGATAAAATTGCTGGTAACCAAAAGCTGGCAGCTCCAGGTAGAGATCCAGTTAGCATACATTATCCCTTCCCATTGAATGTTCTGACAAAAACCAGAGGAGACAGATGCATCTCATGTACTTGCATGATAACAACATGAAGAAGTAGTTTTCACTAGATTTAAGCAGCACAGTGATTTTTTAAAAAATAGAGTCCTTAGTCAATTTCCTATACTTATCAGTACTTAATGGCCACAGAAATTATTCTTATAACCACTGTGCAGATAAAAATTACCATATGACAAAAACATTTAACTCTTTCTGAAGAAACATTATTTTGCCCCTGATAAAGGACTTTATGTTGTTGGGACCCATAACTTTTTCGAAGTTCCGTTTCCAATTTTCTTGAGTGTTACACACAACACCGCATAGCTAAACATGAACTTCAGTCATACAAGACAGGCTGGCACTGGCATGTGTATTTTACAAAAAGTCCTCAGTTGACTGTGGCACCCATTCACGGGTGAAGCCTGCTACATGCGTGGCCCTTTTTTTGCATCTGATTAAGTCCTCATCTACTACCTTCCCTAGTCCTTACTCCAGTTTCCAATTTGTGGTGTTCTTAACTCAGCCTAGTTCACATGGAAAATTCATCCACTGTCACAGATTTTAATCAATGCCATGTTGATACCATGTTCATATTAGAGCTTCAGCTGTGTTTTCATCTGTTCATAAGCTTTCTCCTTATAAATTACCTTGTATGGCCTCAAAAATGCTAACTCTATTCTCCAATGTTCCCCACACTCTAAACTTGAAACTTTCTAAAAATCAGAGCTGTTCAACAGCCTGCTATATCTGGTACATTTCCAACTGGCAGCAGTTAGCTGCGTCTCTTATTTCTAGGCAGCAAGTTGGTTTGAATTTGACATTTTAGTGGGAATGCCAGCTTAAAACTGAGAGTTTGGGGGCTTTTTAAAGGGGTGAGTCTACATGTTGGCAGTTCTTTTCTTAAGTATTAAGAAATACGTAGTGAACTGAATAGCCACTATGATGCATAATACAGTGACCAATACTATCTGAAAAAGGCTACTTATAATCAATTACCTCCTTGGTCTTTAAAGTCATGGAAAAAGTGATCAAACACCTTAAAATCACCCTTTGTTTTACCTTCTCCATCCTCTTGAATTGATTTTGGCTGTGACACAGTAAAACACTGCATTACTTCATACCGCTGGCAAGCTTCTTGGTTCTCGGTGCCTGGCTCATCTGGAGGGTGAATTAGCATCCTGCAGTTAAAGGTATGGCTATTTCGTCGTGTTGCCTCTTGAGGCCAAGGAACTCCATTTACTGCGGAAGAAAAATTGATTATATGTCTGTGAATAAGGTGAAAAACTCGGAGGATACAAAAGACATACCTATAGCCATCTGCTTCGTCAGATACTCAGATTAAAAGACAGATCTCTTCAGGTCTCACATTATCCTGAGGCAATAGGATACTTATCTTTCTTAGCAAATCTAAATGTCTACCAATCAGAAAACTGTAAAATATTCTAACAGATTGTATAGGACATCCCCCCTCAAAAATAAGGCCTTACAAATTCTTAATTCATTAACAGTCTGTATAAACAGTTAAAGACAAAATTAAAAATTAATAACTTCCTAGCTCTTTTGCTCAGATTTTTACAAGCAGTTAATTAATGCACTTTTCTATTTGTTTCCAGTTGCATCCTAGAAATGAAAACCTGATTGGAAACCACAGATCCATTGTTAAGCAGGAGTTTTAACCTGGCAGGTGTGTATTCTTAAGGATGGGCTTGTGTACATGTGCACCTTTTTTGGGGACAGGATTCAGTTTCTCAAAGGAGACTGTGACTCAAAAAAATATTTAGAATAGACAGAGACCAACCTTGGGTTCTTATAACCATTCTTAGACCTTATTTTATTTGCACAGTTTATATGCAACAATGCCTCAAATATAGTGGGTAATCAATAAGTTATAACATAAAAATGATTGTTAAACATAAATGTTACCTGACTCGGTATAAAAAACCGAATTCAGTTATAGAAAACAGGTCTATACATTTCAAATGATAATCGCTGTGTGATGGGACACCATTTCCCAGTTACAATGTTCTATTCAAACCATGGTGGCAGCTGGAAGGTTTTTAAGGCTCTTCTCTCACCATTCCCAACAGTTTTTTGTTTTTCTTTTAACTTTATTCTCTTCACTGACCCTTCCTCCTTTTTACGATCTCATCACCGTGTAACTGTTAGAGTGTTAGAGGAAATCACGGAAACAAACCTGTACTGGAAGAAGGAGTCTTGGTTCTGCTATGAGCTAGCTGTGAGGTTGAGGTTAATTACTTTATCTCTGCACCATCTTTATCATTATTTATTTATTTATTTATTTTGAGAGAGAGAGAGAGCACGCACGTGTGCGCACATGCAAGCACATGGAGAAGGGGCAGAGAAACAGGGAAAGAGAGAATCTCAAGCAGGTTCCACATTATCAGTGCAGAGCCCAACACAGGGCTTGAACCCACAAACTGTGAGAGCATGACCTGAGCCCAAACCAGGAGTCAGACGCTTAACTGACTGAGCCACCCAGGTGCCCCTGCACCATCTTTAAAATAAAGGAATCCACTGTATCATCTCTAAAATCATTTACACTGTAAAATGCTATACCAAAGCACATAAGACCCTTTGATAATTCAAATATCTAACTAGTGATTTTAATAGAAATAATCATTTCAGGCCCCCAGGTACGTACTATAAACGTGTACTAACTACTCTTTTCAAAGAATGAGGCTTCCTTTCCATTGAGCGAACAATGTCGAAAATAAAGAGCTACAGATAACATTCAATTTGCATGTGTGTATTAGTTACACAGAATTTCTAGCCGAGGCCTCCCTTACTTTGGGAGTACATACAGGCTACGGAATAGGCACACAGTGTAGCAAATGGAACAGAGACTGGAAATCAGACCCCATCCGTCCTCTCAGCTAGGCTCCTTTGTCAGCAAACAACCTGTGCACCCATACTTAGAACATCTGAGTTTGAAACCACTTACATCCAAAAATATTCATTTTAATATATACATAATATGACAGTATATTTCTCCCTCCCTTCCTCCTTTTTCTTCTTTTTGAGCAGGGTGGTGGGAAGGATATACATGTGTCTCTTTCTTGGACATAATCGAAGCCGAAAACAAAGGCAGTTTCAAGCAGAAGCTTCTAGTGGCAAGGCAGTGACTACTCTGCTTCTCACCACTGTCACATGGCTAGGTCATAAGCTGGAGGAATAGGATAAAAGGAATGCTCTCTACCAGCTATTTGATGATACTCCCTCTTCGTATGTACACATCAGGCTGAAATTAAATTGAAAAATATTTTTAATGTGTTAGAACTTATTTCAAAATGATACTATGTAATATAAACACAACAATTATATAATGTAAGAAACAGCTAGAGAGAGTTCATATTCTTTTGAAAAACACATTGCTTTGTACCTAGTGATTTTGGTAGCAGATTCTTCACAAATTCTGCATGATCCCCTACATGCAGTATGCTGTAGACACTGGTATTCATTAATTCCTCCTGATTGTAACCCAAGTAGCTGGTCACATTCTCCGACACAAATACAATTCTCCCTTCACAGTTCACAACAAAGAAAAATCCATCCAAAGCCTGCAAAGCCAAAAAAGAAAAAAAAAAAAAAAAAAAAAAAAAAAAAAAAAAAAAAAAAAAAGGATTAAGAGGGTGGGAGGTTAAAAAATGAAAGAAAAATAAACATACACATCTCTCTACTGAAAAAGAGATCAGAAATATATGTCAAGTTAAAAAAAAGGGGAGACTGAACAGAAGGTTTAACACTGTATGTTCTCTGTGGAAGGGACAGAATTTTGAAACAGACTGTAAAGGAATGTACAGCAGGGATGAATGAATGTATCAACCCTCTTTCTGCGAGAGAAACTTCAAAGTAGCAGATGTGAAGGAAGTAACCGATATTCACTCAGTCATAAACATCTCTAAACCACAAGTTAAGTACGACAGGTCTCTACCCCCAAGGAACTTGCAGGACAGTGGTAGAGAGAGAGACACAAACATAATAAAATACCAGTGATGCAGTGTCAGAGACACACCGAGTGTTCTGTGAGCACAAGGAAAAACACCTAATTTGGGGTTGGGGTGGGGTGGGAGGAGGCACAGAAAGGCTATTTAGACGCCCCTAGCTGAGTTTCATAGGGCATAGTGGAGGAGAGGAAGAGGAATGTGGGAAGAACATTCTAGGCAGAGGGGACAGTGTGGTACATTAAGGAACAAAAAAGCAGTTTGGAGTTGTTGGGAGTACATGGTACAAGACCGGCTCATGGCAGGAAATAAGTCTGGAGAGGTAGACGGGAGCCAAATCACAGAGGGCTTCCCATGCTCTGAGATAGAGCTAGGGGTCTTCAAAAGGGGATATATATATGTGTGTGTATATATATATATGCATGCCCTAAGGGGAGCATCACATCCACAGAGGTGCAGGAAAAAAGTTAGAACCTCTATTTCTAGTGCAATCTAAGATATAAAGAAGAAATTCAGCTTAATAAACACTGAAAACCCTGATACCTCAACTCAGTCTAGACAGTCACATATCACAAACCATGGAAGCCTGAGAGAAGATCCAGAATGAAGAGACTGAGCAGGGTGGCACCTTACTTATTTATAATCTTTCCATTTATTGTAATATATTGCAGTTTACTTGCTATAGGATATATACAAACAGTCAAAACAAGACCTTTAAAAAGGAGAACATTTATAGGATGTTGTAACAAGATGTAAAATGACAATGAAAATCTGTTTTATACCCAGAAGTGTCTAGTTTTCTGTGGCAAAATTCTGAAAAGAGCTAACAATGTTATGGGCTATTCATTTTTCTTTTTTAAAAAGGCAAGTGTCCCAAATTTGCTGACCTTTTCTAGGATGACAAGTGGTAATGATAATATGTTACCTAGCAGATGTTTTCCAAATAATAAACACACTTAATTTTGTCCCTCCAGGGTAAAGATGATATTTAAACAATGAATAAGTAAACTGCCTTTCAAAAAGACACCTATGCTATAGAGCCAGCATATGAAAATGCTTTGAAATGTTTTGAAATGTACCATAGTTGTGACTTTGTTGTCAAAATGACCCCGGTTCCATACTTGTAAAACTTCTCTTCTCAGTTTAAACATTTACAAACTTTTTACCTGCTCAAACATCTTCCAGTTTCAGTGTGCTTTAAACTCATTTTTTTTTAATGTGATAATGCAATATCCTTTGATTACTTTGGAAGGATTACTGTTTGAGGTCAAGGAAGATAGAATGTCAATAAAAACCTTGGGATGTGATTAATGATCTAAACACCTCAACACCAGATAAACCCTTTGCTAAACTATTTTCTGTTTATAAGAGCACAGGAAAGCACTGTCATTTCTAACCTTTTTTGACATTAGCTATGAATTTCATAGCAGGTGATATGACGATAGGAACAACAGAAATACAGATACATCATTTTTTTAAAAAGTAGATGTAAAAATTACTTAAAATGTTCTTAGCTATTAATTGATTCAGTGTAAATACAATTTCACTTCATTTATCTTATTTTTGATCTGTCAAAAGAGTTTAATCAAGAACAGTTTGGGTATAACTAAGTGTCATAATTTAGAGCAAGAAAAAGACAGGCAAGTAAAATCTGGTTGTTCCATGGCGATTCCAAGGGCCCTAGTACCCTGCTTCGTCAGCACGACCTTCTCCTTTTTGCACCTAGTTTTCAGGGCATCCTTCACGGCTCCTCCCTCTCTGCCTCCTTGACAACCCTGTCTATCTTCTCTATCTTCAAAGCCACAGCTACTCTCTCCCTTGCTTTCTTACTCTCCATGTCTGTCTCTGGATATCTCTGGACGTCGCCTGTTACCTGCAGAGGGAATGGGAGAGACCAAGACCCACTCCCGGGATCACCTCTGTCCAGTGTGAACACTGGCCAATGATGGGCACAGCATCCAGCACCAGTAAGGCTTAGGGATTCACCTGGACTATCTGGTGCAATTATTTTTAAAGTATTTGCAAAATCCAAAGGACTTAAAAGTTCTCCTTCATTGTAGCAGGCCTGGAGTCCCTGCGGTATCCTTTTCCACAGACCTACTGGGGCTTCTCCAAGTTCTCCTCCCACTGACTGTACCTGACTTCACTGCCAGGCTGGGAAGTTATTCTAGTAACTGGCCTCTGGAATATGCAGCTGATCAGCCTTTGGGGAGTGTAGAACTTTCACCAGGTCCCTGCTTGGCCTCAGTTACATGGACTCGTCATTTCCTCTGTGAAGTCTGGGGCATCGTATTTCTTTTGAGCTTCCCCAGAAAAGACTGGCTTGGAAAACAGGTCTACAAAGGCTCCCTCGTGCTTACAGAATCGTCCTGCTGACCCTACTCCTGAGGTACAGATAGCCTGTCTCTTGTTGGAAATGCCTATTTTTTGTTTTTTTTTTTTTAATTACGATATATATACTTATAAAAATTGTTTAAGTATGAAAATGAAACAGTAGAAGATCTGCCAAAATCTCACCCCCAGGAGACTGGTAATGTTTCAGGGAATATTCTGAGACTATTCCTATGAATACACAAACATCTCTATTTTCTTCAAGTCTGTCACACTAATATAATCTGCTAATAGTTATTCTACAAGTTTTTCTCGTATGTTGTGCATATAATTAACTTCCAAGTGTCCTTCTGGAAAGGAACCTTCCTGCTTTTCCAAGTCCTGACAGCTGGTCTTCCACTGAGCAGCACACAGGAGATAAGAAGTGCCTGTCCATTCAGTACAACATCATCAATCTGAGGATTTTTTCTCTTGGCCACCTTGTGTCTCATGGCAGGGTCCACAGTGGCCAAGGCTTCTCACAGGGCCTTGGCTTTAAATGACTCCACAAGCTTCACTGACTATCACCTAAGTGCCAGTTAATTGACAAAATTCTGGAAATAAAACACACAACTCTCAACAATTATACAGTCTCTGAAGGACAAAGACAAGTACGCATAGTTATGAATAGCGCAGTAGAGGAATTCATAAAGGTTAAGCACAGACTGAAGCACCCAAAATGGGCAAAGGGACGACTGTCACTGGTAAAGTTTCCAGGGAGAAGGCCACACTTACACCTGAGCGAAGTCTTGAAAGACACACAGTAGTAACTCAGGTGGAAAGGACAAACACAGGAACCGGCTTAGAGGTTAAAAACAAAAAAAATCACCCTGTATGCACTTGTTATATTTGTGTTATGTACAACAGCAAAACTTTTTTTTTTAATCTTCAAGGAAAGCAAAAAAAAAAAAAAAAAAAAAAAAAAAAAAAAAAAAAAAAAAAAAGGAATTTATTCTAAAGGCAATGGGCATTTTCTTGAAGGCAATGTTTTAAGCATGCGAGTGATGTGGTCTGCTTTTACAAAGATCTTTCTGGAAGTGGGTGTGGCATGCAGATTGGAAGCCAGAACAGTTGCAATGCTATTGTGATACTTCAGTTCAAACCCGAGCCTGAATTAAGGCAATGGCAGTGGAAGTGAAGGAAGAGAATTTGACACAGGCAAAACAAACAGCATTTGGAGACCTCTAACAGCTGTGGGAATGAGTATTTTGGGCGATTCTCCATTAATGATGTAATAAGGGTTCTGGTAGATAGGTGCCTTTCCCTGAGGAAGTGGACTCAAGGAGTAAAGAAATCTAGTCTTTATTACTGACTTTTCCCCCCTTATTTTTAGGCAGAAGATAAAGGGACAAGTCATAAATTTAGTTTTAGAAATATTATATTTGTTTCTTTAAAAAAATATTTTCTTTTTTTTAAGTTTATTTATTTTGAGAGAGAGAATGCACACAAGTTGGGGAGGGGTGGAGAGAGGGAGAGAGAGAGAATCCCAAGCAGGTTCCATGCTGTCAGCACAGAGCCTGACACAGGGCTCGATCCAACAAACTGTGAGATCATGATCTGAGCTGAAATCAAGAGTCAGACGCTTAACTGACTGAGCCAGCCCCAGAAATGTTATATTTGAAATGACTAAGGAACATTCAGATGGAGATGTTCAAAAGGCAGCAAGATAGAATGTAAGAGAAACTGAAGAGAGATCTGAGCTTAAGGCAGACATTAGCAATTTACAGGTACATACAGTATCATCTGGCTTTTTGTTTATTTTGTCTTAACTATAATCATCTCTTCCCCTTCCACAGAATATCTGATTTCCTTTGGGGAGTTACTTCTTCCCAATTAAACAAAGTCTTGTGAGATTCTTAATCAGACCACTGGGAGACTTCCAACCTAAATGGGAATCTCCAGGAGAATTACAGAAAGACTGAATATAGCTGGAATGCATTCACTTGTACCAGCAAAGTACTGCCCAGATGGGTCTTTCTAAGAGACCATTCGTACAGTATCTGATTTTTAGCCTCCTTAAGATGACTTGGTTTCATCTCACTGCCAAGCATCGTTCTGGGATACCCAAATAGCACTCTGATAAATTCACATTTGCTTGATTTGGGCAGAATTGGGGTCTATTGCTTGAAATCAGAGAATCCTAATTGATAATTTATACATACTTACATGTATGCACACATACATGAATACATCACATGGACATAGGCATAGATGAAACTGCTTGGAAATGTGCACAGAATAAAAAAAAAAAAAAAAAAGGGAAAAGAGCCAAGGCCAGAACGCTGAAGGATGCTAGCATTTAAGAGTCAGGCTACGAAAGAGAAATCTGAGGAAGAGGCTGAGGAGTAGCCAGAGAAGAACAGAGATAGTTCTGGCAACGAGGCAACAGGAAGAGTTTTAAGAAAACGGCACTGGGTGGTGAACGGTGTCAGGAGGCACACAGCAATGGAGGGAATGGCACAAAGTGAGGAAAGGAGGCCTGAGTGTGTGGGTAAGGTATAGGGAGACCTCCATGACTAAAACTGAATTTTTCTTGGGAAGCAGCTGGAGATAAGAAGCTACGGTCAGATAATGCAGAGCTGTGAACAGGAGGCAGAGGAACTTAGATAGCAAAGGGCAATGGACAATGAGGACAGTAAAAAATGGAGGAGTACTTACTGTGTGGCAAACAATAAATATCTGTTGAATAAAAAAGGCTAATACCACTCTCCCTTTAAATGTGAAGAAATTACCTCCAGTATCTTCATTCTTAACTCATGCTCCTTTATGTTTGAAAGGGGGAGGGGAGGGAATAACAGTATGGTGAGAGTTCCTAATAGAATTGTAGACATTTGGTTACTTTTTAGATCTGCACACCTTCCTCTAAGCAAGTCCCTCCAGACCAATGTTGCCAAAGAGAACTTTCTGTAATGACAGGTAAGTTCTATATCTGTGTGTCCAATACAATTGTCACTGACGACATATGGGCACTGAGCACTTTAAATGTGGCTGGTGATGGGGCACCTGGGTGGGATAACTGGTTAAGTGTCTGACTTGGGCTCAGGTCATAATCTTGCAGTTCTTGAGTTTGAGCCCCACGTCGGGCTCTGTGCTGACAGCTCAGAGCCTGGAGCCTGCTTTGGATTCTGTGTCTCCCTCTCTCTCTGCCCCTCCCCCGTTTGCACTCTGTGTTTTTCTCAAAAATAAATAAACATAAAAAAAAATAAATGTGGCTGGTGAGATTGAAGCATTGGGGAAAAAATACATATATACATGCATATATACATATATATATATTTATTTTTTTTAGAGACAGAGAGAATAGGTAAGCAGGCGAGCAGGAAAGAGGGGCAAAGGGAGGGAGAGAGAGAGAGAGGGGGAGGGTAGGAGAAAGAGGAAGAGAGAGAGAAAGAGAATGAGAAAGAGAACGAGGAAGAGAGAGAGAATCTTAAGCAGGCTCCATGCTCGACGTGGAGCCCAAAAGAAGGCTCAATCCCATGACCCTGAGATCATGAGTTGAGCGAAAATCAAGAGTTGGACGCTCAACAGACTGAGGCACCCACGTGCTCCTGAAGCACTGAATTTTTAATTTTATTTAGCTTTGAACAGCCATGTCTGACTAACAGCTATCTTACTGAATAGTGCAGCTCCAGACTCAGCCTGAATGAATCAATGGACAGTCTCATGGTGACTTTTCACCACTTCTTTTAGCTGCCCTGGATTAGACTCTATAAAGTTTGAGATGATGAGGCTGGGGTCAGAGGATACAAAAGAAGGTCCAGAAAAGATTGTCAACAAAGGTGACCCTCAAGTCTGTGAAAGTCAGCAATTCTATTTTGCAGTCTGTTTCATGTTATCTATAGCCCATAAATAAAAATATTATTAGCTCCTTGAAGTCAAAACCTAAATACATTTCTATTCTGAGGTTTTAGAATTTCTAACTTGATGCACTTTTTCATATTTGAAAATGTTTGCCTAATGACATCTAATTCATGTGATGCTATGGTACGGTTTTCCTTTGATTCATAGTGATTTTCAGGGTAATAATTTCATCAGCTAAAAGAAATATTCCTACTTTGTTTTCTTTTTATACTAGCTTCGAATGGATGTTTTCCTGTCATTTTCTCTTCATGTTAAAGCATCGTGGACTTTTCTCACACGGCAATGGTGAGTGTTTATCTAAATTAAAGTAGCAGTAGTAATATTCTCTGTCTCCAGCTGTGCTATGTTCAGTTTGTTAACAATCCACTTGTTCTCCTTGTTGATCTCTGAGGTTTCTGAAGAACGTGAGGTGAAGCTAGGATTTCAATGATCACCATTTTCCTCCAGGAACCCCAGGAATCTCAAGAATCTGTATATCTTGTACTTACCAGTATCTCAGAAGACATTATATGCAGAAAATAAATTTAATAAAATATTTAATGAATTGAAGGGAGTCCTGAGGCTAGGGCACTAAGAAGGCAGACAGAACCCACACACAGAAGCTACAAGTTATGAAAAGACCAACCCCCTGCAGGGTGGAGAAGAGGAGCAGTAAATGCTAAGACAGGTCAGGGCTCCAGGAAGGGCCCAAGTGTACCAAGTGGTGTGAAAGGTGCCAAGCAGGGGGAAGAGACGGGGCGGAAGCTGGAAATGAGCTGAAAGTGCTCTTCTTTCTTTAATGTCTTTTCCTCTAATAGCTTATATTTTAAAATTTCAAACTATAGCAAAGTTGAAAGAATTCTGTAGCTAACATCTGTACGTTCGCCACCAGATTCCACCATCACATTTTCACTATACTTGTTACAGTACCGTTTCCAAAACATGGTCATGTGTCATGCAGTCAATGTAACAGGATGTGAAGAGGGGACAAAGAAAACATCAGACTCTACCACATGTGGTTACCCTCCCCTCTCCCAGTTATACGTGTATGCACACGCTCAGATGGTAGTTGTTTCTACCCAGTTTCTATTTACTCTGTGGGGAATGAGTGTGTCCGCACATGTGTTCTTAAACATTCATGTGTGAGAGAGATCACTGAAGGTGATGGGCCTGCTTGGAAACAAGACATCTACGCTGAAGACAAAGGGAGTGAAGGTTAGATAGGAAAAGCTGAGGTGAAAATTACACAGTAATTACAAAACAATTCAAGTTTAAAAGTTCTTCAAAAAGTTCGGTAGAGGGTCATTAAAATAGTAAGTTCTCATACAGTGTTTACGTAAACATTTGAAAATTTTAGTCAGGAAACTTTTCAGGAAAACACCTACTGCAATAAAGTGACGCATCCCCTCACTCAAAAGTGAAATTCTACAGACATATAGATAGCACTAGTGAGCTAAATAATTCTAATGTTTTATACTCCCGACTAGTCCAAACCACCCCAGAAATGAGTGGCAAAGCCATACGGTAGGCTTCGGTTTTCCATCTGACTATATAGAATGCCTTTATGAAAATTTCTCATATTCATTATTCACATTTCATTCTGAAACAGCAACAACTGTCAAAATACGTTACAAAATAATTATTAAAGGTTCTTTAAAACTTACTTTGTTTTATAATTTATTAATCTGACGTAAGGTATAAAAGAGAAAAAACCAAATTATCTTGGAACAAAGATTTTGATCCCTTTCTAAATCAATGAGAACAGCTACCTCCAACAGAAGAGGTCCCAAGGATTCCTTTTCTATCACTCCTTGACTGCTCGATGAGATGTCTGATTTCTGCACTTCATCATCAGTTGTTGATTTCTCTATAATAAAGAAACAAAAAGTCATGCATCCAAAAGGGCTCATTTCCATATTGGCAAGTTACAAAGACACAGATTCACCTAATTTAAGATTCAAATAACATTTACTTATTATCTAGGCGATACTTATTGACAACGTTATTTAATCTTAATGATATTCACTTTATATGTATATTCAATTGACAAAATTGAGGTTCACAAAGGTTAAGTAATGTGTCACAAATCATATAACTAATAAGTGGCAGCAAGATAATTTGAATTCTGACCTATCAAGTCCAATGTTCCAACAACGGGGAAAATGGTATAAATATAAAGCCTTTTGAAAAAGTCTACACCAAAAGTTTTTAAGAAATGAGTAAACTGTAAAAGAATGATGATTTCCTCCATTTTTCTTTTTCCTCTTCTGATTTGATCAACTGCCATTGAAAAGAGAGTGAAGAAATGCTTTTTCCTTTTGTGAGCCTGCATGAATTAGCTTACCTTTCACATTCCTGTCATGATGATCTGATTGATAAAACTGTGTAACTACTAAATGATCTGAAATTCTTTTGTGCAGTGATGTTGGAAAAGCCATCCATCATCTTCAAACAGCACCATACTTAAATAAGTTTCCAATCTGTCAAACTAGTGAGTTAGTTAGCCAAAAACCAAATTTGGTATCATTGAATATAGAGGCTCATTTTTTTACTTTAATGTGTAACATATTTCAGGGGCGCCTGGCTGGCTCAGGAGCATGTGACTCTTGATCTAGGGGTTGTAAGTTTGAGCCCCATGTTGGGTGTAGGGACTACTTACAAATAAAAAAAATCTTAAAACAATTAAATATGAAATATTTCATATATTCCAAAACATACAGGAAATGACATAGCATACATCACATAGCCACCATTCATTTTTCACGGATGTTAACGTTTGCTCCACGTCCTTCCTTCTTTAAAAAATAAAATGCTGCAAATAGAACACTCTGCTACCATTCCTTCTCTGTCTCTTTTCAGAAATAACTAGTATTCTGAGGTCAGTATAATAATTTCTAGGCCTGTTTTTTATTACTTAAGTACACATGTATGATTTCTTGAACAATAGATCACCTTTTATTTTTTTTTTTAATGTTTATTTTTGAGATAGAGAGCACCAGGGGGGGAGTGGCAGAGAGAGAGGGGGACAGAGGATCCAAAGCAGGTTTCCTGCTGACAGCAGCAAGAACTGTGAGATCATGACCTGAGCCGAAGTCAGACTCTCAACTGACTGAGCCACTCAGGCACCCCTACTGTTTTATGTTTTAAAGTTTACATAAGTATATATGGACTTCTCCAACTTAGTGTTTCCACTCAATATTATGTTTGAGATTTAAGCACACTGATGTAGATCTGATTCATTCATTTGAGATGGTATATATCATGTGACTAACCCACAGTTAGTAGATTTCCTAAGCCACTACTGACAGACCTTTGACTACCACACACAGTGCTGTAATAAACTATTTTCAGTACTTCCTCTTTTGTACATGTGTGACAGTTTCTTGAGGGTAAACACTAAAAGTGAAGTTGCCGGTTCATAGGGTCTATGTATTTTCGACATTACTAAGTTTGACAAATTGCTCTCTAAAGAGAATGTACCACTCGTAACATTCAAGGGTTTTTGTTTTTATGCATCCTCACTGACAACTGATATCAGCATTAAAAAAAAATTTGTGTGTGTGAATCTACTGGGTGTAAAGTGTCATTTCATATAGTGTTTATAACAACAGCTTTACTGATTCACAATTCACATAGCATGCTATTCATGCATTTAAGGCATACAATTCAGGGGTGCCTGGGTGGCTCAGTCGGTTAAGCGTCCTTCAGCACAGGTCATGATGTGGCGGTTTGTGAGTTCAAGCCCCTGCACTGGACTGTCTGCTGTCAGCACAGAGCTCACTGTCCCCTTCTCTTTATGCCCCTTACCCACTCACTCTCCGTCTCTCAAAAATAAACATTAAAAAAAATAAAGCATTCAATTCAATGGTTTTTAGTACATTCACAGGGTTATGCAACCAACATTATAATACATTTTAGAACATATTCATCAACCCAAAAAGAAACTTTGTACCCTTGAGCAGTCACCCCCCATTTTCCCAATGCTCCCAAGCCCTAAGCAACCACCAATCTACTTTCTGTCTCTGTGGATTTGCCTATTCTGGACATTTAGTATAAATGGAGTCATACAACACATGGTCCCTTGTGACTGGCTTCTTTTGCTTCGTGTGCTTTCAAGGCACTGTCAGTACTTCATTCCTTTTTTTTCTGCCAGATAATATGCCATTATATAAATATACCTTGTTTAACTTATCCATTGGTCAGCCGATAGATACACGGGTTGTTTCCACCTTTCGGCTATTTATGAATGATGCTGCTACGAACATTTGTGTGCAAGTTTTTGTGTGGACCTAGGTTTTCCTTTGTCTTGGGTATATACCTACAAATGGAATTGCTGGGTGATACTGTACCTCAATGCTTAACATTTTGTGGAACTACTGGACTGTTTTCCAAAGTGGCTGCACAATTTTATTTTACTTTCCTACCAGCAGTGTATGGGGGTTCCGATTTCTCCCATCATCACCAACACTTATCTGTCTTTTTTGTGTGCAGCCATCCTGGTACTTCACTGTGGTTTTGATTTGCATTTCTCTGATGGCAACGATATGCACATATTTTTCCTGTGCTTATTAGTCATTTATATGTCTTTGAGAGGTATTCAGTCAGAGCCTTTGTCCATCTATTAACTGGGTTATTTACCTTTTGATTATTATGGTACAGAAGTTTCTCATTTAGTTCTAAGATGTACTTCCTTCATCAATTCATGTGTTTATAACATTAAGACAGGTTTTTGGTTTTTAAACAGGTTTGTCAAAGAACACCAACCATCAAGTCCAAGTAAATTAAATAACTATGTGTGAAAAGCAAAACATCTAAAATTTCAGGCAAAACCTAAGGCGGGAGTGGCTATGTGACCTAGTTTCTGGCTCAAGGAATGTGAAAAGAAGCGACGTGCAATTTCTGGGTCTTGTCCTTAAAAGGAAAGAAGCATGCCTCCCCATTTTCTTCTTTCCCCTTTTTGTCAGCTGGGATGTGGACCCGTGAGCCATGTTTAGCCACGTGGAAAATGGCAATAGGAATGGCACAGAAAAAAAGACGAAATCAATCACAACCTCTGACACATCCCTAGATTATCTTGTTAAAGCTGCTGCACTTTGGGTCTCTTGTTACAGTAGCCTAGCCTGTATCCTCACTATACATTCTGTATTTCTCAATCCCATGTTTATTTGCTAGATCTTGATTATGTCCATGATAGACATAATTTATTGGCATGCTATCATGAAAAGTAAGACTTTAACTTACATCAACCTTCTACCCACACATTTCTCCCTCCTTTCATCCTCCCAATATAGTTACAATTTCTAGGGCAATCAGTATTTATTATCTATGCTCCTGTGGCCACATAAATAAAGTTCACAAACGAGACAAGGTGTGTGCTATCATTTACATTTCTATTTTGCGTTTTAGTCTTTTTAAGTTCAACTCATCCCTAAACTTCCCCCCCCCCCCCGAAATGAAATTTTCCTCTTAATTAGTCAGTCCTCTGATTCTCTGTTCCATTTTTTCCCCATGGAAACATTCGTCCTGGAGACCTCTATCCACTAGCTATGTTTTTAGGTTGATGCACAAGGGTACACCTTTCTTCTGTTAAGATTCCATGGTTTCCCTGGATTAAGATCCTATGCCTTTCTTTCTTGGTTTGCTATGGTGGTTTTGATAGATATTTCTGGAAAAAGTACACAGAAGATAACTTTTGAACTGAGGCTTTAAATGTCTGAAAATGTCTTTATTTTGCACTTACACTTCATTTGGATTCACACAGAATTCCAGGTTTAGAATTCTCAGGGCACCTGGGTGGCTCAGTTGGTTAAGTGTCTGACTCTTGGTTTTGGCTCTGGTCATGCTCTCACAGTTTGTGAGTTTGATCTCCACAGCAGGCTCTATGCTGGTGGCACGGGGCCTGCTTGAGATTCATATTCTCCCTCCCTCCCTCTCTCTCCCTCCCTCTCTCCCTCCCTCCCTCCCTCTCTCTCTCTCCCTCCCTCTTTCTGCCCCTCTCCTGCTTGTGTGCACTCTCCCTCTCTTTCTCAAAATAGATAAATAAACATTTCTTAAGAAAAGAATTCTCATTCAGTATTGTTATTTAGGATACACTCTGAATCTGGTATGTGTCTATTTTTTCTTTCCCTTGTTTTTTTTCTCTCTGGTGTCTGAAAATTGTGCATTCGTGTGAGGTTTTTCTCCCTTTCTTTTTATTCGTTGCGCTGGGCACTATATGAGTGCTTTCAATCTGGAAACCCACATCTTTCTAATTCTGAGAAGTGTTTTGTTTTGGTTTTGTATTATTACTCTTATAATTTCCTCCCTTTATTTGGTCTGTTCTCTTTTTCTGAAATTAATATGTTACACCTCCTGAACTATTCCTATACACTTCCCACCTTTCCCTTGTCTTCCACTACTTGTCTTTTTATTTTTACTTTCTAAGAGATTTCTTCATATTATCTTTCAACCCTTAAAATATTTATTCAACAAATATTCCCTGAAAGTCTACTATGTAACCAGGAACTGTTTTAGGTATGAGGGCACAATGAGGAACAAACAAAAATCCTCACCCTCATGGAGCTCTAGTGGGAGTAGGCCGACAATAAACAAATAAAACATATAATATGTTAGATGTAAAAAACACTGTGGGGAAAATAAATCAAGGAAGATGTAGAGAGTGTGTGTATTAGAGAGAGAGTGTATTAGGTAGGATAGTTACAGACAAGTTCATTGTGAAGAAATATTTGAACAAAGGCACAAAAGAGGTGAGGGAATGAGCCTTGTGTACATCTGAGAAAGAACATTCCAGACAAAGGGAGAAGAAAGTGCCAAGACCTGAGGCAGAGTGTGCCTAGAATGGTTAGGCAGAGAGTAGGCAAAAAGTAGAAAACAAAGTAAAGAGGCAAAGTTTATTTCAGTTATCCTGATTTTAAGTTCCAAAAGTTATTTGGTGTTTTGAATGTTTTATTTTATAGCATCTTATTATCGTTTCATAGTTGAATTACCTTCCTTTTTGTCTCTGAGGGACTGTTTGATGGTTTGAAGTTTTATTCTGCTCCCTGCACTGTCTCTACTTTCTCTGAGTTCCCTTTTTTCCTGTTTGCTTGATTTGTTCTCTTCTACTTTACAGGTTTTCCTCAAATATTCAGATTTTTATTCAGATTAAAGAGTAAGGTACTAAAAGGCTGACTGGCAGCTGTGTGAATAGAGGGGGCAAGACAGGGAAAGGCTTTTGTCATGTGGGGATCATTCCCAACTGTCAGTGTCTGTGTGTCTTTTCCTTTGGGCAGGTCAGTGTCCCGAGAGGGATCCTTCCCCCCTTGGGCAGCAAGCAGCGAGGTGACATATAGCTTCTGGCTGGCTCTCCCCGTCGGAGACTTAAAATACTAGTTTCTACTGTCTGCTCCATCAGCTGTCACTAGACTATTCACTTTCCAGCTTATAAAATCTTAACATCCTACCACTTTAATCATTAGAAATATATTTGTTTATAATCTTTTCACATTGCTGTTATTCATCTGAAGTTCCTTCTGGTCTATTTGTTCTGTTTGTTATTTGTGTTCCTACTTACTGTAGATTGTTTCCTCATATGTTACATAATTTCTTAGCATAAAATCACCCTCATAAGCACTTTTTCTTTGGAAATGCCATGGGAGTGAATACTGTTCAGTTTTGTTTTCCAGTCTTTACCCCTGGTTTAATTAGCCAGATCATCAGGCAACTTGTTTTATGTAATACATGCAAACATAGTGAAGTATTACTTTGAAATGAGTTTTTCCATTATCAGGTGTGAGAGTTTTCCTCCAAAGCGCTCTGCCTGTGTGTCTGCTTTAATTCTTTGCTAGGGGTTTTCTGGCATGAGGTCCCCAGTAAATATGGACAGTATAAATATAAGTCGTAAAACAAAGTCAGGGTTTTCCCAGAAGAGACTGTTTCCCATGCCCAGAGCCCCGGCAGAGACAAGCTTACTATTCAGATGGAGGGATTATCCTACCACTGAGGCACTGTCTTTCAACACTATGCCAGAGCTTCAGGTCTGACCCCACAACTTAGATCTCTTGACTCAATTCCCTTAGATACCAGGCTTCATAACCTACCAAGGCAACCAGTGTTCAAGTTAAATTAATAAGCCATGTTTTTGTAACAAGAAACCTCTCAGATTCACTTTCTAAAATAAAGACCGTCTATACAAAAATGTTTCTTTAATAACATTATGAAATTCAATGCAATTTCTTAATAATAAAAATAATAAAATCACCTATTATAAAGGTCTTCATAACAAAGCACACAACCATGGTTTTGGCCTTTTTTTTTTTTTTTTTTACCTTGTTCCATTCTCTTCATTAGCTGTATCTGATCGACTGTCTTCTTCAAAATCTTGCATTTGTCTGGCTTTACACTCAAACTGTCAATGTCACTGATGTTGGCAGACAGTAACTCAGCTAGTTCTTCTAAATATTTATTTTCTTGTTCCCTGCGCCTCTTTTCAGTGCTGTTTGTTACACAAAGAAAAACCAGTTAGTGTACATTTCTACCACGATACTTCCCTCTTTGATCAAGTACTTAATATTTACATATTTATAGAGATCCATAATTTTATCCAGAATATAAAGTCCGATTTTAAAAACAACTTAAATTCACAATACCAAAGTGCAGAAAACAATTCTGGCCAAAAAATGCATAAAGAGAGTGATTGCCATCATATATGTATTTCCTCAATGATATAAATACATCAAATATTTCCCAACAAAATGTTAGATATTAAAAGGAAGCAGAAAGTACTTACACTCACTGCATTTGGAATTTACTTTATATTCTAAACAATAATTCCTTGAATTAGAAAATCTGATTTTTCAAATAACTTTGTTATAAATTAAGCAGTGCAGACTATACTAGAGTTCAAATAAGTTATACTCTGAAATCTGATAAACTTTCTTAATTTTTTTGTTACTGAAAGAAATCTGATAAACACTTGATTCTTATCATAACTAGACCATTAGTTGGTCCTCATCAAAAAGAAAAGAGCATCCATCCAAAAAGTAAAAGAAAAAGAATAATAATCAATTATGAGACAAAGGTACAGAGAACAATGTCTTTTGAATACAACCTCATTCTACAAAAAATAAGACATCTATTTATAAGTTCTCATAAATGTGATAAATAAAATCAATTTTGATTTCTCTTGAAGCAAAATTACGAGAACAAAGGATAACAGTGCAACCAGCTAGCACTTTACATTCAATCAAAGGTACTGAATGAATACTGTTCAGTTTTGTTTTCCAGTCTTTACCCCTGGTTTAATTAGCCAGATCATTAGGCAACTTATTTTATGTAATACATGCAAAGATAGTGAAGTATTACTTTGAAATGAGTTTTTCCATTATCAAATTAACATAATAAGAAAGATTGGTCACAAATAACTCTTTGTTTTATAAGCAGCAACCAAAATCATCTGGTGTGATGGTAGAAAAGTGGTAAAAAAAAAAAAAAAGAGGTGAAAAGAGGGCAAGATTAGTTGCTTTTTAAAAAGCTCATAATTGGGGCGCCTGGGTGGCTCAGTCGGTTGAGCGTCCGACTTCGACTCAGGTCATGATCTCGCGGTCCATGGGTTCGAGCCCCGCGTCCGGCTCTGTGCTGACAGCTCAGAGCCTGGAGCCTGTTTCAGATTCTGTGTCTCCCTCTTTCTCTGACCCTCCCCTGTTCATGCTCTCTCTCTGTCTCAAAAATAAATAAATGTTAAAGAAAATTTTTTTAAAAAAAATTAAGAAAAATAAAAAGCTCATAATTGGCAACAATTAAAATACCACTTACTTTTCGTAACACAAAACTATAAAAGCAATAGCATTTCCATAACAACATAGTAAGTTGAAAAGAACCAAGTCAGCCAATCAAATGTATTTAACCACAAAAAACAAAATACTACAACATGGTACACATCCCAGAACAAAACCAAATTTTGAAACTTTAACAATCATCCTTTATCTTTATCTGTAAAGCCTTTCATTATTAAGGAATTAGTCCCACTTTATTTAGTAAAACTTTATCTTACAATTTCCACAGAAAGTACATGGAGCAAGATATTCTGACAAACTTCACACAAAGGGATTGAAAACAAGGCATGAAGAAAATGACATAGTCAAGGTTTCCGAGAACTCCATCTCTGCAACTTGATAGTGTTTTAGAGGACACCTGATTTTACCTTAGAGAAACTAAGTCATACTAGACTTATTTTGTAGATTCTGTCTAAAGTATGATCTGTTTAAATCTAGGGGTCTAGATTCTAACACGAGTAAACTGGATTCACGTAGTGGAACTCCAAAATCGGCTTCTGACATTAAGTTTTACGTAAAACTGAAGTGCCTGACACCACTGTAGAATAAAAGAAAGTGCTAGAATGGCAGGATAGACAGAGAGTTGACAGAGGAAGCAAGAAGCTAAAAATACTGAAATGCTGAGTTGTCTATAAAATGACTTAAGAAGGAGACTAGGAAAATCACCACGAAATGAAGTAACTAATAAGTAAGGACAGAAAATGAGAGCAGATATATTTAAACAAAGTCAAAACTGAAGGAGGGGTGGACATGACCAAAAAATTCTACCTTAATGGAAAAGAAGGCTTCCTTTATTACTTTAGCCACTTACACTTCTCACCAGCCCACTCGACTTCCATGGACATTGCACACATGCTAGTTAATCATGCTATGAATTAACTAACGTATCTTTTTCCTTCAACTTACTAGCTTTTTCAACAAATGGTCCTAAACTTAGTACATGCCAGACAGCCACGCACTATGTCCTGGGGACCCAGGGGTAAATTAGGTGTAGCCCTAATTAGTGTGAGAATAAAGAAAAAGAGTCATTACAACTCTATGTGACAAGACTGTTAATACTATAGAAGTTCATCCGGATCACACCTACGCTGAGGCAATGAGATGTCCCAACCTAGTGGTAGACAGGGATTGGTTTCAGGGCAGGGGAGGCAGACAAACAAAACCCAGCTTTTTCAAAGTTGTAATATGAGAATGAAAATGTCAAGTTAAAGGATCTATAAGTAGTTCAGTATGGCTCAACTACAGATAAGAAACAGAAGGGCAGGAGATGAGTTCCAAGCCACATCATGAGGGCTCTTCCATACACCATGATAAAGAGCATGATGTATTGCTTAAAAGCACAAGTTCAAATTTCCTCAGTCATTTATTAGCTATGTAACCCTGGACAAGTTGCTTAACAGCAATTTAACTTCTCTCAGCTTCAATTTCTTTATCTGCAAAACAGGGGTGATGACATTAATTATCTCTTAGAATTTAGTGAGGATTAAAAAAGATGCTAAATGTAAAATGTTTGGCAAAGTTGCTGGCATATACTTTTAGTTCAGTAAATGTTACCTACTGTCATTGTTTTGGTTATGATTATTTTTTTCAGGGCGAGGGGAAGCCCAGAAGGGTTTAAGAAGAAGAATGAGTGGCATGACAAGATTTGTAAGCTCCCTGAAGATAGAAAACATGACTCACTTTGCTTATATCCTTATAACGTCATGCACACCATGCTGGTTGAATAGTGGGCACTAAATAAAGCACTTGTTGAGCTGAATTAGAAATATTAAACAAGCACAAGGCATAGCTACCCAGCATTTTGAGACCGGCATTTTAATCCCCATTCTCCTAGTACAGTTAAAGAATGGAGAAGAGGTAATAGGAAGAGATATGAGGCATCAATTACTAAGAAACTCTATCAGGGCTCTTGTACAAAGGGCTGGCAATATCCTGAGGTCTAACATATTCTCTTTATGATTAATGAGTTCAGAATCTGTCCAAAGAGACAGCAGATAATAACAAAACCAAAAGAAGCATTACAAGGTGGTATTCATACACAAACTCAATCAGTTTCAAAATCACGAAGTTTTACTTTACCATATCAAAAATGCCAATTGAAACTGAAGCCCATACTTACAAACCTGAAGGAGGTAATGTTTTCAAATATTTTGAAAGCAGACACACAAAGATTATTATCTTTAGAACATCTAAGAACAAAAAATATATTCACTTTTTGATATTTGTCATGACATGATTATGTATGTATAAAAAAATCAAAGATCTACAGATAAGCCATAAAACAAATAAGAAAGTTTAGAACAATGGATGCATAGGAGACCAATAATCCCAAATCCTATATATTAAAAGCTGTCAGAAGATGCAATAGACAAAATTATACCATTTCCAAAAGCAATAAAAATTCTGTGGGACCCTGGAATATATCTAACTAAAGATGGGCTAGTTGTTCAAAGGGGAAAATTATGAACTACTACCAAAGAATAGTGAAGACCTGAATATGTGAATAGCCTTTATATTCACAAATAAGAACACTCGGGAATCTGGAGTCTAGAAAATAAAAATGTCAATTCTCTTCCAATTTAATCTATAAAAGTAAATGACATTCTAATCCAAATCCCAGGAGTATTTTTCTTCAGGGGAAACTTAAAAACCTGATTTAAAAATCTGAATGGACAGGTGAAGGGACAAGAATAGGGAAAACGATTTTGAAAAATAACAAAGAATGACTTGCCTCAACAGATATCAAGGTGATTGTCATAAGAAAGTTCAGAACCAGATCCCTATCTATACAGGAACTGGATCTATGATAAAGGTAACAGCACAAAAGCAGAGAAAGGATAGGGCCATAACCACTTATGTTCTACATGGGAAAAAATAAAATTAGTTCCCCACATTATATCATATGCAAATCAAATTCTACATTAATTAAAACTCTAAATACACATATGTATGTAATATGTAAATATGTAAAAATATGTTTAAGGCCTTGAAGTAGAGGGAAAAAAATTCTTCCACGAGACCCCCAAGAGCTTGACACATGAAAACTGAAGGTTCCAAGGTATGTCAACGGATTTCAAAAACAGTTAAACAGACCAGGAGAAGAAAGATATTTACATCAAATATCAGCAAAAAAGAGTAGTACACAGAAAATTTTAAAAAAATCTTATAAATAAAAAGGAAAAGGAAAACAACCCAGCAGGAATATGGGCAAAAGATACACCCAGGAAATTCACAGAAGAGGAAAACAAAAATCAAAATCAATTTATCTGGTTATCAGTGAAATATACTTCAAACTGTAACCCCACACTCATCAAGTTGGGAGACTTACAGTGAGGAGAGGACAGTGTGGGTAAGGGTGTGAGAAAAAAAGAACTCTCAATGCTTGTTATTTGAAGAGCAATGTGGTGGTGACCTAGTTAACATAAAGATGAATACAGATCCCAAAGAAACTCTCACATATCAAGTAGGAGGTGTGGAAACTGATACTACACTGTATGTAAACTAACATGAATTTAAATTAAAAATAAACAAAAATAAAGTAGGGAGGTGCATATGAGGATGTTCCTTCGCTGTAGTGCTAGTTGTAAGAGCAAAAATTTCTAACAGAAAGGTTGTTTATAGGGAAATGGATTTTTCAAATGGGATACATTCCTGTCTTACAACATTTAATCAAAAGGTGACAGAACTGAATCTATATATATTTATATCTCAAGATGCATGCTGGAAAAAGTATACTCTAGAAAAATATATACAGTATACAGTATTGTATCATATGTATACTTATAAACATTCTGTATTACCAGTTCATATATAATTATTAAAAATGGAGAAATTAATTGCAGACAAATCAATGTAATAATTAATCATTTTACTACCTTATTCAAATAAGACTATACAAATATGATAAAATATTAAAAAATACTAACAATACCACAAAATATGAACAATTATATGTAATGGATATATATAGTTTCTTAGAGTCTATTCTTAACATAGATTTAAAAAATTTCCCCAAATAAAAAATTAAATCTAAAAAACAACAGTTTTATTTATTTATTCTTTTTTTAAATATTTATTTATTTTTTGAGAGAGAGAGAGAGAGAGAGAGAGAGAGAAAGCACAAGCATGGGAGGGGCAGAGAAAGAGAGAGGGGGACAGAGGACCCAAAACAGACTCTGCACTGACAGCAGGGAGCCCGACGTGGGGCTCGAGCTCACAAACTATGAGATTGTGAGCTGAGCCAAAGTCAGATGCCCAACTGACTGAGCCATCCAGACACCCCTATTTATTTACTCTTACATTTTCCTTTGAAAAGGACTGACTTTACATACAGATAAAACAAGAACATTAACTTTGACAACACAAATCTGGATTGTATCTCAATATCAACATTCCTCTGAGCATCTGGACACTTACCTGTGGTTATGAATACTTAAGTTATGATCTGTGACAGTTCTTTTAATTGATCAACTTTTCTCTCTCCAGACTGGAGCCCTGGCACTTACTCCCCTGTTAAAATCCTTTCTTTATCCCCCATGAGAAAGAAGCATGTAATCCAGGGACAGAAGAATCTTCTGCCACTTCACTCTCTAGATCAGTGATGATCAATGGGGGCCATATTGCTTTCCCCATTCCTGACAAACATTTGACAACTGTCTGAAGACATTTTTTGGTAGTCACAACTGATGTGACACTTTGGTTATCATAACTGATGGAAAGATGCTACTGGCGTCCAGTGTGTGAAAGCCAGGGATATTGCTACGCATCCTACAACATACAGGAGAGCTGCCCACAACAAAGAATTATCTGGCTGACAATGTCAATAGTGTGAAGGCTGAGAAAGCTTTCTCTAGATCCTAGAAGATGAATGGAATAAGATCCCCACTCTTCTCCTCTCAGGTGGGAAGCTGTTCTTTTTTTTTTTTTTTTTTTTTTTTTTTTTTTTTTCCAACGTTTATTTATTTTTGGGACAGAGAGAGACAGAGCATGAACGGGGGAGGGGCAGAGAGAGAGGGAGACACAGAATCGGAAACAGGCTCCAGGCTCCGAGCCATCAGCCCAGAGCCCGACGCGGGGCTCGAACTCACGGACCGCGAGATCGTGACCTGGCTGAAGTCGGACGCTTAACCGACTGCGCCACCCAGGCGCCCCGGGAAGCTGTTCTTTTGATGCGAGCGAGTTTCTTTCTCTGTCTGGCATTTGTTAGAATCTCCTTAGCAACAATTCTCTTTTAGCCTATTTAGGGTGATCATATTCCTTATGATACACAAATATTTAATTTCACAAATAGGCATTCTTTAAAATCCTAATATTAATATTATAAAAATAATGATATTTCTTAGTTCTGCTAACATAACGTTCTAAGATAGCAGGTTAAAGATATACAATGGACTTATTTATTCACGTGACAAATATTTACTATGTCCTTACTATATATAAGCCACACACTATGCTACAAACTAGGCATATACTAGTAAGAACAGACAAGGTCCTTACCAAATAGCAGCCTAAGCGTGTAGTGGAGAAGCCAGAAATTCACGAAATAATCACATGAACTAGTAAAAACCTGAAATTATGGATCAGAGCTATAAACATACATGTGAGACAGATACAGGATGGGGGAGACTTAACATAATAGTTATGGAAGTAAGAGAAGGCTCCTTTTAAGGTGGTAATGTCTAAGCTGGTATCTGTTGAATGTATAGGTACTGACTACAAGAAATCTAGAGGGAGCAAGCTAGACTGTGGGAGCAGCATGTGCAAAAGTCCCGGGGAAACAAGAAAACATGGGGAGTATAAGGGACTCCAAGAAGAACAGAAAACTTGGAGTAGATTTAGCAAGAACTCTTAAGTGGCAATGAAAATGATAAAGAAGCTCTCCTAGATCTAGACTAAGAAAACAGTGTTCCTACCTTGATGCCAGTGTGTCACATGGCGATCCTTTCCTCTTATGTGAGTCTGGGTTAGCAGGGTCGGATGAACTGTCCCCGAGGCCACTCATGTTGAAAAACTTCACACCTAAAAAAGGAAGGACAACAATGAGAAATCTACTCTGGTGAGCTTTCTAACCACAGGAGAGGAAGAAGCTCCCTTATGTTAGAAGATATCTAAACACTACAGGGTCTCTGTGAATACCTAATTACAGCCATCATAAAAGTATCCCCATCTATACAGAGTCATCACCTATTTAGTGTTTCTACACTTTCTTTTCTGTATTTGTAAAACAAAATAAATAGTCCCTTATGAAATCACAAAGGTCAAATAGGATGAAAGTATTATTAGAATAATGAAATAGACACTGAAATTTTTTTTCAGAGAAAAAAATCACTTTCAGATGTTTCTAAGAACAATGTATAACTGGGAGTCAGAGAAATTATTTCTTATATGTATTTATTTTAGATTATGCTTTGAAAAGAACTTGAAACAACTTTTACTCATAAGGTTTGGGATTTTATACTGCTAAGAAAATAAATAATACATCTACAATTAAAGTTGAAGCAATGAATTAGATTTGGTACTTACCAACTCTGAAATCTATACTCCTAACCTTGTGTTTATGTAGTCAGGCGACAAAGATCAAATGTTTAGTCTATGTTAGGATCTTGGTATAGATGCCAGAGAACACAAAGTCATTTCCCTGAGCACGCCAGTCAGGTCTCTCTCTCACATGTTGTGCCAGGTAGTGACTACACTTACAGATCCACTCTGACTTGTCCCTATCAACCACTATTCTCTGTAGAATCCCTAACGAAACTCAGAATCCTATCCCTGGCCTTATATTCATCACGACCTTTTGTATGTTATTAGTGCCAAACAGCATACCTCCCCCATTTGTTTTCACCCCATCTACCCTTGAAAAAGGAGAGAAAATCCTTGCTAAATGGGAAAAACCTTTAACTTTTCCTTTTCCACAGCAATGACAACTGTGCTTATAAAGCTTGTTATAAAGAATGCTGAGATCCATAAGAATCTCTCACATGGTTTTAATTAATACATGTGAGCAAATCCTTTTTCTCTAGTCCTGAAACTTACTGTCTCTAGCCTGTCCTTTGTCAATACCAAAGACTGTCAGTTCCCCCTTTTCTGTGTACAAATAATAACTAAAATTCTAATCATGAATTTATTATTTCATGCAACAAAAGGGGCACATTCTGAATTTCTCCCACATGAGAAGTGCAGTTCATAAAAACCTCCAACCCCTAGGATTGCAGTCTTGTAATTGCTTTTTACTTTTCTCCTTCACTTCTCATTTCTAATCAGTATCCATGTCCTGTCAATTCTTCCTTAATAAGAGATCTCAGATTGTCCCTTCCTTTTTATTCTCAGATATAGTTATGATTCTAGTTGGAACCCAATGCTTCATTCTGGATTAATGCAAGATCCATGTATCTGGTTTCTCAATTCCAGTCACTCTCACTTCTAATCTGTCCTATAAACAGCACCTAAACCATTCCTGCTCAAATGTCATTTCCAAGATATCAGTTCCCTGATGAGGAATCAACTGGGTCCCCCTACTGAAGCATGGTGGTTGAAAGCACGGGCTGTGGGGTAAGAAAGGCCTTAAGTTGGAAGTCCTGGCTTAACCAGTACCTACTTATTCTTGGGCAAAGTGTATAACCTCCTTAAACCTAATTCCTCATCTATAACATACAGATAATAATTACCTTCACCCACCTTCAGATCTGTTGTAAGGACGGAACGAAACAGTGCATGTAAAGAGCATACTCTAGTTCCTGGAGAATGCTGACTTGTTATTTCCTCTTTAGACAGAGAGCTCCATGAGGGCCTAGGGTTCACTTGTGGATAACTCATCCCAAACCTTCTTATCAATAAATACAATGGACACTTTTCATGCCTTCATTTGTTAGTGCTCAATATATGCTATTATTATTATTATTATTATTATTATTATTATTATTATTTTATTGGCCTACTTGGAGCAGCTTTTGAAATAACCTTCTGAAACACTGTCACCCATTGGCTTCTGTGATCCCGTACTTCCTTCATTTACTTAACAAATAAATCAAGCATCTATCATGCATCAGACACTGTGCTAAAAGCTGAGCAAATAAATGGTCAGCAAAATAGAGGTTCCTGCCCTCAGGGAGCGGGAGACATAAGCAAATAAGACACAAAAGTAACATATAATTTTAAACTGTGATAAAAGTTACAAAGGAAAAGAATACAAAAGGAAAAGGAAAAGAATAGGAAAAGAATAGAATAGAATGTTTCTCATAGAGAGAAGCAATAGAGGAGACCTAATTTTAATTGGGGCCCTCTCCAAAGAAGTGATGCATAAATCAAACCTGACTAGAACAGTGTGGTTTTCTTCTGATCTCATTCTAAGTACTTTTTGCCCAATTCTTGGGGGTCAGAATTCCTCAAGGTCCTAATGTCCAAGGCCTCTTTTTCCCTCAGACTACATACATTATCCTCGGGTGATACTACTCACTCAGCCTGATTTCAAAACACATCTCTATACTGATTATCCCCAAATCTCCACCTCTAGCTCAGACCTCCTAAGTCTCAGAGCCATAATCCAATTCCTCACCAGCTATCTCCATCCAGATGTTACCCAGGCACTTCAAATTCAACTTTCCAAACTGAACTAAACCTCACCTCATATATTTCTTCTTTTAGTTGGTATGCTGGAGTCCTTCTAACCTCTTCTCTCATACACCATATGCAAGCAGACACCAAGATTTGTCAATTTTTATTTCCTAAATATCTCCCAAATCCATCCCTTCTTCATAGCCTCCTCTCATCACCTCCTGCTGGACCATTTCTTTTTTTCAAATGTTTATTTATTTAGAGAAAGAGAGAGAGAAAGAGAGATAGTATGACAGGGGGAGGGACAGAGAGAGAGGAAAGAGAGAATCCCAGACAGGCCTCGATCCCACGAACTGTGAGATCATGACCTGAGCTGAAATCAAGAGTTGGACGCTTAACCGACTGAACCACCTAGGCACCCCTCCTGCTGGACTATTAAAATAGCCTTCCATGGGGCGCCTGGATGGCGCAGTCAGTTGAGCGTCCGACTTCAGCCAGGTCACGATCTCGCGGTCCGGGAGTTCGAGCCCCGCGTCAGGCTCTGGGCTGATGGCTCAGAGCCTGCAGCCTGTTTCCGATTCTGTGTCTCCCTCTCTCTCTGCCCCTCCCCCGTTCATGCTCTGTCTCTCTCTGTCCCAAAAATAAATAAACGTTGAAAAAAAAAATTAAAAAAAAAAAATAAATCAATAAAATAGCCTTCCAGATGGTCTCCCTGAGCCACCAGAGCAGGCTATCAGAAATGTAAGTCTGATCATCTCTATCTCTTGTTTAAAATCCTTCACTAAATCCTCACTGCTGAAAGAACAACATTCAACCTCTTGGACATAATATACAAAGTTTCCATCAGCTCTCACCTACTGTGCATCAATTATAGAATTTGGTGAATAAGTGACTAAACGTCTATTCGATCATGTACTTAACAGATTATATATGTTATATATTATATATGACACACATATATATAATCCATAGGAAACAGACAGAGACACACACATGTAGATTACGTATGTTAATTTTAGTTCCGACACTAAGGAAAGACTTTAAAAATAAAATCCTTGGTTATATTCCACGTTCCCAGAAAAGGAAAACATTAGTCAGAAAACTTTAAATTGATCACAACGTGGGTAGCCCTAATTTCACCAGCAACAAATATTTACTGAGTTCCTAGTATATGCCAGCCTCTGTTCTAGGTACTGGGGATACAACCGTGAATAAAATTTACAAAAATCACTGTCCTCATGTCCTCATAGAGGTTCATTCTATTGTAAGGCAGAGAGATAATAAATAAAATTAAAAAGTAAATTATAGAGTATATTAAAAGGTGATATGTGTTATAGAGGAAAATCAGGCAAAAACAGAGGTGTAAGTGTGTAGAAGGGAAGGGACAGCAGTTTTAAGTAGCATAGTTAGAAAAGGCCTCATTGAGAAGGTGAGATAAGAGCAAAGACTTGAAGGATGTGAAGGAAAGGGAAAGGTATCTGGAGGAAGAGTGCTCCTGGCAGGCGCAAAGGGAAGGGCTGTAAGGCCTTAAGGCTGCTATGCTTTTTGCAAAAGATGAAAGAGATCAGTGTAGTTAGAACCAGGGAGTGAGGGAGCAGATGAGCTCAGAAAGATTACACAATGAGGCTACATCGTGTAAGGCCATAAAAACCATTTTAAAGATTTTAGCTTGACTCTGACTGAATTAAGCAATCAGTGGAGGGTTAAGAACAGAGGAATGACAAGATCTGATTTTCATTCTAAGACTTCTGCTATAAAGGGTAAGTACAATCTTTCTCATTTCAGTAATTTGGTATTTAAGTTTCCAACTGCTAAATGGACTTTTTCATTTGGATATCCCACTGTCTCCTCAAACTCAATATGTATAAAATATGCTGGATGCTTACGTTCCAGACTTCTGTTAATGATGAATAAACGAGACGAGTTGCGTTGTGGAGTAATGCCATCATAAAAAATACTTGTTAAATCTCTTGTGGTGGGGGGAGAGGAAGGACCCATGATAAGAAAAATAATTACAGTAATTGCAAGGTGGACAACCTCAATGCAAAGGCAAACAGGCCAGACTTGTAAAAACAATCACCACAATAAAAAAGATGTCAAAAGACCCGACATGTTTGTTAGTATCTCTTCTGAAACCCAAACACAAAATAATAATCATCTAAGTGATATATTACTGTAACCAATACAACTGCTACCTTCTTTTCCTAAGAAACTCACAGAAGCATAAATGAGGTTATCACAAAACCAAATATCACAGAAGAAGTCACCTCATTCTATATTCACATAGAAATAAAATGTAATGTTTTTAAATTTTTTTTTTTCAACGTTTATTTATTTTTGGGACAGAGAGAGACAGAGCATGAACGGGGGAGGGGCAGAGAGAGAGGGAGACACAGAATTGGAAACAGGCTCCAGGCTCTGAGCCATCAGCCCAGAGCCCGACGCGGGGCT